TTGACTGATAGCATTATTTTATATTTTGTAACTTTCCCACTTGAAGATGGGAAATCATCTCTAACTTTCAGAACTAACCTCAAGGGACTGTTTTGAAAGTTAAAAAAATTCACACATATGAAACACTTAGAATTGTGTTTGGCATGAAGCAAGCACTAATGTTAGTAGTAGTATTATAATTTATTACATAGCACAGAGGACTGCTCAGAACATGTACTTACAGGAAGGGTTAGGTAGAAAAAGATTATTCTTTTTTTTTTAGATTATTCTTTAATATATAAAAATAATTGAGGATTAGAAACTTTTATTTTTATTTTAGCCTTTAATTTACTTTTTTAATTGTATTTTTCCATTACCATTTATCCCCTTTTACCCCACTCCACCTGCAGTCACCACACAACAGTGGTGATTAGACAGCCACACTGTTGTCCGTGTCCATGAGTGCATTTTCATTTTTGCTTGATCCCTCCACCCCCTAATGACCCCCCCATAGCTCTCAGCCTGCTCTCTATGAGTCTGTCTCTCTTTTGCTTGTTAGTTCAGTTTGTTCATTGGATTCCACATATGAGTGAAATCATACGGTATGTATCTTTCTCTGACTGGCTTATTTCACTTAGCATAATGTTCTCCAGGTATATCCGTGCCATTGCAAAGAGTAAATTTTTCTTTTTCTTTTTTTTTATGGCCCAGAAGTATTCCACTGTGTAAATGTCCCATAGTTGTTTCATCCACTCATATACTGATGGACACTTAGGTTACTTCCATATCTTGGCAATTATAAGTAATTCTGCAGTGAACGTAGGGGTGCTTATGTTCTTTTGAATTAGTGTTTTGGGTTTTTTTTTTATATAGTCCCAGAAACTTCTATTTTAACTTGGCACCAAAGGAATTGAAATGTTAACTTCTTTCTAAATATTTCTAATGTTTGGAAAGATCCAGATGTGACCTATCCCACCTAAGCTTTAGGTAATACTGGGATGTAGTTCTGGAAGAGAATAAACAATTTCAAATACCAGTAAATCTGTAGGCTAAGAGATGGGTTACTGAATAGAGAAGCTATGAAAAACATCATTTTCTTTCCAGAAAAGACATAAGAATTAGGTGCCCAGAAAAGAAACTTCCTTTTTTAATGTGACATGTTTCTGAATTTACTATTTATCAATCTTGTCTGAAAATCATTTTGTGTCTTGTCACATGTTAGCCATAGGCTGCTAACATGTGGTGTAAGAGAAAAATGCTTTCCAGGTGTACCCACTTTGAAATACATGATGATGCACTCATCTTCATGATCATTATCTCATTTAATCCATTTGAATCTACCAAGAAGGTAGGTTATTGATAAAAATGGTCATTGTTATAAATTCTTAAGGATAGACATGATGTAATAATCTACTATTTATGCCATTTTGGTATCTAGCACCAAATTTGAACTTTCTGTTGTCTGTAGCCTGTTTTTCAGTATATGCTCTTTGTTCTTTAAATCCAGTGTTTATGCATCACATATTTTTTAATCCCCTTTATATCCTATGCTAGGTGTATATGAAATGAAAAGGAAACCTTGATAAGTGAATGATTCTTGCCTTTGAGGACTCAGCAGTCTTTTTGGGGAGGTGGGGTGGAGGGCGATAAAATAAATACTTGTTAAATACAATCCTAAAGGTACTGAGTACTCCCAACCAGTACTCTGGACTCTGCGATTGAGATTGGGAGTGTCTACCTAAGGGAAGTTTTGTGGAGAATGAGATTTAAGTTTATTCTTAAAGAGTGAGTAGGATTTGGGAACAGGAGAAAATCTGGTAAGGTATTTCAGGGAGGGAAAAAAGTATGGACAAGGCATGGCCTTTGGAAAACAGGAAAAGGAGAGATTTCACATTGAGGAGGATGTAGGGGGAGGGAAGAGAGACTAGGACTGGCTATCACATATTAAAATGGGATATTTATGAATTTGTGTTGCTTTTAACATGAGAAAAACAGCTAAAAAATATTTAAAGACTGTTAGAACTGAGTTAACTTCTAGAGGTATGACACCTATTTCCCCAAACCATCATTGTATTGGAATTTAATTATATGTAGACATATACATATACACACTATAATAAAGATATAAAGCCATATAATAGGGATATAGATGTTTTTCTAAATAAGGATTTTAGTAACTAAGAGAACTGTGGGGATTTCCTGTACAATGTGAGTTAAGGATTCTTACAGCTCAAATAGTCACCCCTTTCTAGTGTAATACACACCCACTCTAATAAGTTTAGCCTAATTTGGAACCTTACAAAAAGCAGAGGTGTCCATCTTCTAATAAGCAGCCCTGTCTGGTGTGACTCAGTGGATTGAGCACCGGCTGGCAAACCAAAGGGTTGCCAGTTCAATTCATTCCCAGTCAGGGCACATGCCTGGGTTGCAGGCCAGGTCCCCAGGGGGAAGTGCTGAAGAGGTAACCACACACTGATGTTTCTCTCTCTCTCTCTTTCTCCCTTCCCCTCTCACTAAAAATAAATCTTTCAAGCTTAGTATTAAGCAGACATCTACTTATTGAAATCAACTCAATACCAGTTTTAAGTGGACATCACTTATTAATTGATATTAAATGCATATCCCCATTTTAACTTTAAGGGCAAGCCCCCCCTAGAGGATTTAAGAAAAAGGCATTTTGGGATACAACTCACTTCTCATGGAATAGCATATTCTGCTTTGAATGACTAATGATCATTTTGTGATGAGCAAGGATAGTGAACTAGTGAGGGTATGACTAATAAGGTTATATGCAGTTTGTAGCCAGATGTTGCTTCACTCTTAACCCCTATAGAATGAGGTTTAGTTCTGGGGTAAAGATAACTATTTAACATGTTATTAACTTGCTATTAAAAATCACAGCAAATTTAATGGTGTTTTTTAAAGGATACATTTAAAACATTCCCACTTCCGAAACCTAAATCAAAAACTTTATTGAAATGGTTTTTGAAAACTATTTTCAGTGGTTTATTGAAAAATGTCTTGTACTCTGTTAAGATGATGTGGATTCTGATGCCAGTCCTAGGACTGTAAACCTCAGCTTTTATGTGGCAGGGAGCCACTGAATGTGCAACAGAGAATGTTACACAAATTTTTTGCAAGTATACAACTACCACAAGGAGACTTCTGGCATAGCCCCAAATGGGCTGTAGCAAATTCACATTTAAAAAATTTTTTAAAATAAGCAAATAGAATGGGGGGGGGGGGGGGGGGGGGGGGGGGGGGGGGGGGGGAGGGGGGGGGGGGAAGAGGGAAAAAAAATGTTTGGCATTTATTTTTTTTTAAATTTATTTATCTTTAGAGGGGAAGGGAAGGAGAGAAGGGAGAGAAATACCAATGTATGGTTGCCTCTTGTGTGTCCCCCACTGGGAACTGGCCTGCAACCCAGGCATGTGCCCTGACTGGGAATCGAACCGGCGACCCCTTGCTTCACAGGCCCGTGCTCAATCCACTGAGCTACACCAGCCTGGGCGACATTTTTTAAAGACTGTTTATATTTTTACTTCAGAATCATATAAATTTTGTCATTCTTTATAATATCCATATTTGTTTCATTGTAAAAATTATGTTTTAAATTATCATTCAGTAAAATTGACCAGTCAAAATGAGTTTAGCATATCTGACCTGCTGCATTTAGCACAGTATCTTATCTACACCCGTTTAAGGACAGCTACTTGAATACAGTTGCATAGTCATTTTACTAGGTTCCTGTCCCCTAATTTAAAAAACATAGGCACCTTTGGTTAGGTTATCATTTTTTTGAAGATACCTATCTGTATCTTTATATAAAGTAGGTATTTGTTTTGAATGGAGGAATACTTCGTATATTATGAGCTAAGTGTCAGTATTGAAATATATGATTTTTTAAAATGTAATCTCAGTACAACAAATTTAAATACCTGAACTAAGTGAAAGTCCTTGTTTACAGATTTGAAAGTTCAGAATTAAAGTTTTATTATTTTTTGAATGTTGTAAACAAAAGGATTTAGTGCATTGGTTAGAATCAAATCAATATAATGTGCCCATATTTTTGTAATAAGTAGCAGGTCAAACAGTAAACATTTATTGAATGCCTATTATGTGCCAGATACTGTGCTAGTAAGACAAAGGGAACTTGGGGGACGGAGAGGGAGAGATGGAGATAACGATAACACTTGTTTTTTGTCTTTAGGGCCTTCATATTTTCTAGGGGTATTATTGCCGTGTAGCATAATAAATACTAAAATAGAGATAGGCACCTCTGATACATTTGGATAAAAGTGGATTAACCAACCAATTTAGCTTCAGTGCCATAGAGAAAGCCTCTGAGATGGGAATGAATATGCTTATGTTGAAACTTAATAAATGAAGAGAGTTCCCAGGGTGGGAATGTGGAAAAAGAGCATTCAAGACAGAGACAAAAGTGTAAATTTTTCAGGAAATTGCCAGGAGTATGGTTTAACCAAAGTGAAACCACATGCTGGAAAGCATCAAGAGATGACTTGACAGTAGGCGGTTGCATTTTTTATGCAGTCTTAAGGAGTTCGAGCTTCATTCTGTAATTTTTTCAGGATATTTGAAAAGTGCTGAGTATGATCAGATCTCATCTTAGCAAGATTTTAGCTTTTGAAGTAGTTCAGAATGAATCAGGGGTAGTTGTGGTTATGGCACTGGCAAGAGGAGCAGTTGTCATTTATGTAATCTAGATGAGAGATGGTCAGTCATTAAAATGGCAGTGCACATGACAAAAGAAAAAAGGGTAGATTCCAGATATGTAAAATATACAGACTCAGTGGTATTTATTATTGACTGTGGGTAATTAGAAGAAAAAGTCCAATATAAATCCCATTTCTGTCATGAATGATGTGATTATAAGTAGATGGGTCAATTTCTCACTAGATTTTTGAGAGTTTTATGTACATGAATAGCTTCTATAAAATTAATGAGCATATAAAAGTAACTTCTGAGTAGGTTAATTCTAAGTTTCTTTTTTTTATTTATAGATGCCACTTCAAATGAACAACAAGAGCTCTTCTGTCAGAAGTTGCAACAGTGTTGCATACTGTTCGATTTCATGGACTCTGTTTCAGACTTGAAGAGCAAAGAAATTAAAAGAGCAACACTGAATGAATTGGTTGAGTATGTTTCAACTAATCGTGGTGTAATCGTTGAATCAGCGTATTCTGACATAGTAAAAATGGTAAGCTTCTAGACTTATGTTCCTCAGATTTATATAAATTCAAGTAATATCTGAGGTGTAATTATGAATTAATGAGACCTTTTTTTAATTAAAGATTTTATTTATTTATTTTTAGAGAGAGAGGGGAAGGGAGGGGGAAAAGAAAGAGAGAGAAACATCGATGGGTTGCCTCTTGTACATACCACCAGGCAGGGACCTGGACAGGAATGAACTGGCAGTCTTGGTTCCTGGGATGACACCCAACCCATTGAGCCCCACCAGTCAGGGTCAGGCTTTTTTATTTTTTTAAGATTTTATGTATTTCTAGAGAGAGGAGAAGAAAGGGAAGGAGAGAAACAGCAATGTGTGATGGCCTCTTGCACTCCCCCAGCGGGGGACCTGGACTGCAACCCAGGCATGTGCCCTGATTAGGAATTGAACCGATGACCCTTTGTTTGGTTTGCAGGCCGGCACTCAATCCACTGAGCCACACCAGCCAGGGCAAGACTTATTTTTAATAAATTTGTAATATTATATGGACTCAAAAGAATGTTTTTTAAAAATAGTCCATTTGAAAGATTATCCATTCATTTCAGTGATGCTAATATTGCTTATAATAATAATTGGGGGATTTAGTAGCCGCAATGGCTAGTGGTTTCCATATCGGATAGTACAAATCTAGATCTTAGGAGAAGGATGTAGACTCAAGATTATACAGATTGAGGAACAAGTATAAAGGACACATGGACAAAAACTAGGGGGGATGGAAATGGGAGGGAGGTGTGGAGGGCTGAGGGGGGCTGGCTGGGATGGGAGTAAAAGACAGAAAGCTGCACTTGAACAACAATTAAATTTTAAAAATAAAAATAAAATTTAAAAAGTTATACAGATTGATAATTAATGTCATCGGGCTGAATAGTCACCAAGAGACAAAGTCTAAAGGGAGAAGAGAACCAATCGAATAGTATGGGTCTCTCTACATTTCATTGGTGGGGAAGGGAATCAGATCTAAAAAATTCTTATTTAGGACATTTTTAATATCATGTTTGTAGATTCTATAATGCTTGAATTTTCATTAAAACTCAGGACTTTTCAGAAGTTAAATAATATAAATGTTTTCAATATGTGATATGAAAAATAACTGCCAACTTTTTAAAAGATTAGGGTATTGTTTATTAATAGTTCAACCTTATTCATCAGACAGACATTTGCTTAGGATTTTTGTATGCATACTAACAAAATAAAGATCACTTGGAATAATTAGAGGGTCACTGAGACCATAATTTAAGTGTAAATGTGTACAGGGTATCAAAGGTTATAGCAAGTTTAACTTATAGTTGCCTTCATTTCCATCCCCTTGCTAATACGTGTTCTGGGGGAAGAGCAAAATGTGTAGAAAGTTAAATTTCATCCTGATATACCAGTTGGGTTTTTTCCTTTTATCATATTGTGCTAGAAGAGTTGTTCAAAGGACTTAGGAGATTTTGGTCGCGTTTTTTTTGAAAAATTAAAACAAAATCGTTAGCTATAGAACATTAATCAAAATGAAATTGGCTTTCTGAACTCCCAGAGACAGTCAAAAGGTGACAGTTTGAGAATATAAATAGTGACTGTTGATAGACTTCTTGTTTTTTTTATTTTGTGTTTATCATTAAAAGATGTTCAGGGAGAAAAGCAACATTCACAGTAGTGTTTCCACTGATTTCAAATGGTTTGTACTCAGGAATTTTGAAAGTTCTTGGAAAGATACTTTATTTTTATCTCTATAAAGTTGTTGCTTAGATATTGAAAGTACTCATAATTTGAATCATATTATTCTGCAATTGCTATATACTAATAAATTTTGCAATTTATTTCTTTTCCCAAGTAAAAAGGTGTGTGTGTGTGATTCAACTTGTGGATATTTAAGTTTTAGATAAGAATGAAGTCAACTCACCAACTTAGTCCTTTAAAGTTCGTATCTTTGGTATATTATATGTAGTTAATTTTCTAGCATATCAAATTCTACATTATTACTTTTTAAGTCTTATGATTATAGTAATTGACTGTTAGCAGTTATTTAGCCTACGGGAGATGCCACTTTGTGAGAATAGTTTTTTGCACTACTATATTCCCCTTGCCTCATCCTCTGTTCCCCAAACAGTTTATCTCAAATGACCAATCCAGCAATAATATGCCTTTATTGTTGACTAAACTAAACCATTTGACCTGTTAGTCTGCACATAATTCTTCAAAGAATTGTGAGTTGGGACCACAGTCTATCCTTTGCTGGGGAAAAAGGATATATAGTTTACTTTAGTACTGAGATAATATGAAAGATGAATAAATACTGTATTTCACTGAATCTAAAATGAAAACTCTCAAAGCACTTCCTGGGTTCAGAGATTAATTTTTTAAAAGGGCTCAGAGTAGATGAAATACAGTAAATTAAATTATTATGAGGTATTTTAAACTGTGCATAATAGCAATGAAGATATTCTGCTCCTTCCCTCCTCTTCCTTAGTGTGTGTGTGTGTGTGTGTGTGTGTATACACACCATATTTCCATTCATATCTATCTATCTATATATATAGATAGATATATCCATTGTTCATATATATATAGATATATATAGATATATCTATCTATATATATAGATAGATAGATAGATAGATATATCTATCTATCTATCTATCTATATATCTATATCTATATCTATATCTATATATATATAGATAGATAGATAGATATTCTCCTTTGCATGATACATCTTTTCCATTCTTTTACTTTTACTTTTATAGATAGAAGTCAAACTTCTATCTATATATAGATATATATATCTATATCTATATATAGATAGATAGATATGAATGGAAACATTTTACCAAATTTGTGGCTACAAAATAAGTAAATGGCTAGGTTAGAATATAGGGGATGTTGTGGAAAAATGAAAAGAATCAAGTTAGGGATAGGCAGAGTTAGGAACTTTATGCTTCCAAACCGACTCCCACCCCAATATACTTCCCTCCCTTCTTCTACTTTTTTTTTTTTTTTTAAGAAAAACCTGGAAAGAACAACTTGTAGTTTTTAAAAAGATTTTATTTATCTTTAGAGAGAGAGGGAAAGCGAGGGAGAAAAGAAAGGGAAATATGGTTAAGTGCCCTGACTAGGCACCAAAGTCACAGCCCTGGCATGTGCCTTGACCTGGAATTGAACTGGCAACCTTTTTTTTTGTGGAATGATGTCCAACCAAATCAGCCACCCGATCAGGGCAATAGCTTGTAATTTAAGGAAGAGAAATTTGGAGGGAAGAGAAATCCAGTAGTAATCTGTAATCTTCAGTAGCTTGCTGCTGAATAAGTCAGAGAAGAATTAATGCCTGCCTTCTTCATATCTTGAAGATGTTTATAGGTTTTTTTAAAACTAAGCTCATAGCCACAATTTAACTTCTTTCTTTCTTTTTTTTTTTTTTTAAAGATTTTATTTATTTATCTTTAGAGGGGAAGGGAAGGAGAGAGGGAGAGAGAGATATCAATGTATGGTTGCATCTTGTGTGTCCCCTGCTGGGAACTGGCCTGCAACCCAGGCATATGCCCTGACTGGGAATCGAACCATGGTTGCTTGATTCCCAGGCCCGCACTCAATCCACTGAGCTACACCAGCCAGGGCTTAACTTCTTTCTTAAATAAAGTTATCTTAAAAATATTTCATTTTGCATTGTTGAATTCAATTACATAACAAAGAACATAAATATGAATTTATTTTTCTTTACAGATCAGTGCTAATATCTTCCGTACCCTTCCTCCAAGCGATAATCCAGATTTTGATCCAGAGGAGGATGAACCCACGCTTGAGGCTTCTTGGCCTCACATACAAGTATGGAACGTAATTATGTATCGATAGTTTTTATATTTATGATATCTGCTGAAATCATGGCTCTTTCAGATCTATTTAAAAGCTTTTACTTTAATACTTTAACATTATTTTCTTCCCAAAGTGTTGTGTTTCTCTTTTTTTACTGTGATAAAATACACTTACCATTTAAACTAGTTTAAAGTGTACTTATTCAGTCGAATTACATACATTCACAATGCGGTACAACCTCTACCACTGTCTAGTTCCAGGACTTTTTATCTCCCCAAATGGAAACTCCCTTGTCATTAGCAGCCACATTCTATTCTGCCAAACTCACTGCCCTGATAAGTACTAATCTACTCTCTCTCTCTCTGGATTTGCCTGTTTCAGATATTTAATATAAATGGAATTATATGGTATGTGAACTTTAATATCTGGGTTTTTTCACCTAGCATATTTTCGGTGTTTATCAGTGTTGTACATGTATCACCACATTCCTTTTAATGGCTGAATAATATTCTATTGTATGGATATACCTCATTTTGTTTACCCATTATCAGCTGATGGACATTAGGGTGGTTTCAACTTTTTAGCAATTGTGATTACAGCTGTTAAGAACATCATGAGACAAGTTTTTGTTTTAACATCTGTTGCCCATAGTTTGGATATGTTGTGTTTTTGTTCTCATTCATTTCAAAATATTTTCTAATTTCCTTCGTGACTTCTTTTTTGATTATTTGAGGATGTATTTAATTTCTACATTTTCATGACTCTCACATTTCTGTTATTGATTTCTAATTTTATTCCATTGCAGTTGGATAATAAATATAGTCTGAATGTTTTCAGTCCTTTTAAATTTATTGAGGCTTATTTTATGACCTAGCATACAGTCGATCCTGGTGAATGTTTCATGTGTACTTCAGAAGAATGTGTATTCTATTGTTGGTGGAGTGTTCTGGAGAAATCTTAGTTCTAATTGGTTTATAATGTTCAAGTCTTCTATTTCCTTGTTAATAATCTTCTGTTTAGTTCTACCCATTATTGAAAGTGAGATATTGAAGTTTCTGTTACTGTTAAATTGTGTTTTTCTCTTCAGTTCTGTCAGTTTTTGCTTCATATATTTTGGTAACCTATTGTTAGCTATATATGTTTATAATTGTTATACAATATCTTCCTTATGGTGGCTTTTATCATTATAACTATTAAAATAGAGTTTCTGTGTTTGTTTCATCTGGTATTAGTGTGGCCACTCACTTCTCCTTTGCATGATACATCTTTTCCATTCTTTTACTTTTAGTCTGTTTGATACTTTGAATTTGAATTGTTTCTTGTAAATAGCATGTGGTTGGATCATGGTTTTTTAAATTTATTTATTTTTAAGATTTTATTTATTTTTTAGAGAGAAGGGAAAGGAAGGAGAAAGAGAGGGATAGAAACATCAACGTGTGGTTGCCTCTCATGTGGCCCCTGCTGGGAACTTGCCTGCAACCCAGGCATGTGCCCTGACTGGAATTGAACCTGTAACCCCTGGTTTGCAGGCCTGCGCTCAGTCCATTGAGCCACACCAGCAAGGGTGGATCATGGTTTCTTAAAATCAATTTTGACAATATCTGTCTTTTGACGGGTATGTTTAATCCAATTACATTTAATACAATTACTGATAATGCAGTTTTTACTTCTTTCATTTTGTCATTTTCTATATGTCTTATGTCCTTTTTGTTCCTCTGCTCCTCCATTACTGCCTTTTACATTAAATAGGTATTTTCTAGGGTACCATTTTATTTCAATTCCCATGTTTCTTTATAATGTTCTGCTTTTTCTTAGTAGATACCCTGGGGATTACAATTAGCATCTTAAAATGATCTAGTTTGGTTGAATACTAATTTGAAATCAGTAATTTTCAAAACTTTGGTCCAATATATCTCTATTCCCTCCTTCGTGTTATTATTGTTATATTGGGTTGGCCAAAAGGTCTGTTTAGTTTTTTCCATAAGAGACACATTTTTCATTTTCACTAATAACTTTATTGATTTGGATATATTGGGTATGTCAGCTGTCTCCCACTAGTGGCTTTCTAGTGGGTAGAGGCCAGGGGTGCTACTAAACATATTCTAGTGCGGAAGACAGCCCCAGCAAAGAATTACTTGGCCAAAATGTCAAGAGTACTAAACTTCGCAAACCACTTTTGACACATTTGATCAGTCACAGCACCTTCTCCATACATGGCACAAATCTTTTCTTGCATTTTTACCTCTCTTGAAATAATAAAACATAATACTTTGAAAATGTTGCGTATCTTCTTCCATCTTTAGTATTAAAATGGCTGTACAAAAATTCACCAATTTTGGTAAGTTTTTTAAAAATGCACACTGATATGACAGCTGTCACAGTACAATCTAACAGAAGTGTTTTAAATGACATTAAGACAACTAAGCATTATTAAAGCCATTGTATGAAAAAACTTAACAGACTTTTTGGTCAAACCAGTACAAATTCTTATGACATTTACTTCATACCTTTGAGTTTCATTTCAATAACAATAAATTAGACCTTCCAAATAATCCAGTGTCATCACTTTTTCCTTTTTTAGACCTCATAAATGAGTTTTTTTTCTTTTAAAATTTAATTACTGCTCAAGTACAGTTTTCTGTTTTTTACTCCCATCCCAGCCCACCCCCTCAGTGCTCCTCACCTCGCTCCCATTTTCACCCCCCTTAGTTTTTGTCCATGTGTCCTTTATACTAGTTTCTGTAAATCCTCCCCTTTTTTCCCCTGAAATTCCCTTCCCTCTCCCCTCTGGTCACTGTCCCCTTGTTCTCTATTTCAGTGTCTTTGTTTTTATTTTGCTTGTTTGTTTGTTTTGTTGTTTATCTTCCTGTTAAAGGTGAGATCATATGGTATTTGTCTTCCAACACCTGGCTTATTTCACTCAGCATAATACTTTCCAGTTTTATCCATGCTGTTGCAAAGGGTAGGAGCTCCTTCTTTCTTTCTGTTTCACAGAATTCCATTGTATATATGTACCATAATTTTTTGATCCATTCATTTAATGATGGGCACCTAGGTTGCTTCCAGCTCTTGGCTATTGTAAATTGTGCTGCTATAAACATTGGAATGCATAGGTTCTTTTGGATTGGTGTTTCAGGGTTCTTAAGATATAATCCTAGCACTGGAATTGCTGGGTCAAAAGGCAGATCCATTTTTATTTTTCTGAGAAAATTCCATACAGTTTTCCATAGTGGTTGTACCAGTCTGCAATCACACCAATGGTGCACTAGGATTCCCTTCTCTCTACAACCTCTCCAACACTTGTTTGTTGCTTTGTTTATGATGGCCATTCTGACCAATGTAAAGTGGTATCTCATTGTGGTTTTAATTTGCATCTCTCTGATAGCTAGTGATATTGAGCATCTTTTCTTGTGTCCCTGGATCTTCTGTATGTCCTCCTATAAATGAGTTTCTGTGCACATACAGATGTGCCTTAGTTAAATGGAGCAAAAGTTTACATATACAAATTCTAACTAGAGGATTAATCATTACAAAGCATAGTGAAATGGAAATGAGTCTGGTGATAGACCTCTACTGAAATCCTAGCTTGATGCTTTTCTACCTGTGTGCTCTTGGGTGAGCTACTTAACTTCTGTAACTTCCTTTATAAAACTGGGGTAAAACAGGGTTGTGTAAAGATTGAGTGGGGTGATGTATACACAGAACCTAGCACAGTTTTTAAAACTATACTATTTTTTTTGCTCTCCCCTTTTTTCTTAAATGCTATTACTTTGGTGTTTTGCTACTTTTGTACTGATACCCTTATATGATACCCTTAGTTCTCTTTTTTTTTAAAGATTTGTCTTTAGATGGGAAGGGAAGAAGAGAGGGAGAGAAATATCAATATATGGTTGCCTCTCATGTGTCCCCTGTGGGGAACTGGCCTCCAACCCAGGCATGTGCCCTGACTGGGAATTGAACCATGATCCTTTGTTTCAAAGGCCCACACTCAATCCACTGAGCTACACCAGCCAGGGCCCTTAGTTCTCTTTTGTAGCTATTTTATTGGTTCCCTAGAATGAACAATACTGAAATTAGCAAATAGTCTCTTCCCCATTTATTTCTCCTCTAGCATCTAATGTAAAGTTAATATACTGTTACTCCACAGTAAATACCTATATGGCACTTTGAAGCTTCTACTTTGCATATACTCTTTGCCATCCCTTCCCCCAACTCTGTATTTTTGAGAGTCGTATGATACCTACACATAGTTAGAAGATGTGACTAATTGTATACTCTCCTGTCACCTTTATGCCCATCACTTGTTATTCTATAGATAACATTTAATGTTTATAATAATTCCTTATGTCAAAGTTTCTCTAGCCATTTCTTGGTAATTTGGAGCTCAATCTTCAGTAGCAGGGCTCATGGGAACATTATTCCATGAGTTCTTGCATGCTTAACAGCAGTTTATCTTTATAGCTTTTATTTTTAAACGTTAACCTGATTTGATGTAAATTCCTAGTGTGATGCTTTTTCCTTGAGTACCTTAAATATGTTACTTTATTGTCGTCTGATTTTCTTTCTATATATAAAGACTTGGCATTTTGCCTGGACACCTAAAGGATATTTTTCCTTTAGTGGCCAACTACTTTACTGGACTATACAAACATAAGTAGTGATTTTCTAGGTAAATTTCTTCACTTGAATAGAAGTCTTTAGAAGTCCATTTTTTATACCTGAAACATTTTCTTCAGTAATAGTTTTTAGTATTTCTTTTGTTCCACTGCTTTGCTTTTCTTCTTTGGGGCTGCCTGCTATTCATATGTTGGCTCTGCATCTCTTTCTCTTAAAATCACTTTTTCAGTCTTTCTTCATTCTCTTGGGTTGTTCTTCGTTTTTCTTCTTTCCATCCTGTTTCCTTTTTCTATTACTCTAGTTGTGAGGCAGAATGAGAGTGAGTCTTTGGTTTTTCCAGCTTCAGTAGTGGAGACAGGCAAGGGGAAGGGAATGGGTGTTAGGTTAGCCTGCCACAGGGTTTTTTAAATTACAGGGGAAGAAAACAGATTCTTGGAGTACTAAGATTTTTTTTTAGTGTTTATCATGTACCAGGCAATGTTTTTAAGCACTTAACATAAACTATCTCCTTAAATGTATGTTGATTATTATATAAGTTCTTTCATATATTAAATTATTAAAATCCATTTAAATTAGTTTCCTCCTAATAGAGGTTGGAAAACATTCAGTTACCATACTCCTTAAAAAGAACCTTTTGTGGTACTGGATCATTAAAGTTTGACCCCTCTGGGCCAAACATTTCCAGTTCCTTTAGTTTTTTGTAAAGTATCTTATTTTGAGATACTTTAATCATCTTTTCTAATTTCTGTTATACTTTAATCATCTTTTCTAATTTCTGTTGTACCTTTTTCTAAAGTCTTTTATTGGTGAAGACCAAAATTTTGTATGTTTTAACTACACTGGGAAAGACATGGTCATACTGAGTGGGATGGCAAGATTACCCACCATTCCTTATGCTTTTATCTTTCATGTTTTAGGGAGTTTTGTTCTTTTTTGTTTGTTTACAGAAGTAGGAATACCAACCATACATTGAACATGTGAAGTTTGCTATTTTATTAGGGAAATGAATCCATTTCTGAAAGTATCTAGTCTTTGTAGCACTGTTTCTTAGATTCTTAGATCAAATTATTTCTTCAGCCCTGGCTGGTATGGCTCAGTGGATTGACCACAGGCCTGTGAAGCAAAGGGTTGCTGGTTCGGTTCCTGGTCAGGGTACATGCCTGGGTTGCAGGCTGGGTCCCCAGTGGGGGACACATGAGAGGTAATCACACATTGATGTTTCTCTCCCACTCCTTCTCCTTCCCCTCTCTCTAAAAATAAATAAATAAAATATTTAAACAATTATTTCTTCATACAGAACACTGAGAAACTTCCATAAGTACAGTAAATATTTATTGAGCATCTATTGTGTTCCAGACATTTTTCTAAATATTGGAGGTAAAATAACAAGCAAAATCCTTTACATTTTAGTGGAATAGATGATAAATAAATAATATTATGTCAGGGTATGATAAATACTAGAAGAAAGTAATGCAGTATAAGGGTATAAATTTGTGCCATACTGAAGATTTTTATCTCTGTAGATCACTACACTCGGGTTTCCTTTACTTCTGTTAGGGATTGCTCTACATGTATTTATATAACCTATTGTTATCTCTTCAGTGGTGCTAAGTTGGCTGTATCATTGCAGCTAATATTGACTGGTCACTTAATGCTCATTGTCAGATAAATGGTGCAGATGAAAACTATGATAGGCACAAGTGTCTACTGTGTACGTGATTTAGAGGATTCATTTTTATATGGAGCTCGATGCTGTACAGGCCTCCCAAAGGACATGCTGTCTCTTAAAAACGTTCAGCCTTAAGCTCTGTATTTCTGACACAGATCTTAAGAGGTAGAGTATATAGACTAATGAATGTTATGCTTGACTCCTGTTTAACCCTGGTTTACCTTACTACAAATCTTAACTTCTGCTGAACTGTGTATCTGCATAAAGATTCTGAGTCTCTGATTCCATACCCTCATCTATACCCTATACCATCTTCTTCTCAAGACATGTTCTACCTTTCTTTCTTTAAAAGCCCTCCTATTTCTTCTTGGGTTATCCAAAGTCTTACTGAATGCAGGGCTCAAGTTGCATATCCTCCAAACTCTTCCTACTGACCTTATTCCCCAGTGTTACAGCCGTCTGCTAAATGGCTCCTTCACTCATAATCTGTGTGATACAGTTTTTGCATATATACCATTTTATGTTTTTGTCTTCCCTCTCTAACAAGTGAATGAGCTTTCTGGAACTGTACAGTGCCTGATAGCCATTCATACTGTTCGTAACTAAATGAAAACTCGTTCCTCTACCCACAACACTTCTGTCACCAAATGTGTGGGTTTTCCACACCAAGAAATTATCCAGGTCTCTGTAGACACTTATTCAAGCACAGACCCCCCCCCCAGATTAAATAAGGGCTCAGTTCTACAAGACGGCCCCCCACTTCACATGGCAGTCACAAGTTTGAGGCTCCCATACTTTTGACCAACTAGCTGTGAATCTGGGGAGGTTCTCAGGACCTACTCCTCAGGTTCAGTAATTTGCTGTAATGACTCGCATCTCAGGGAAACATTTACTGTTGTCAGTTTATTATAAGATGCAGTGCAAGTACAGCAAAATAGAAGAGGTGCATAGGGTGAAAGTATGGAGAAAGGGCTTAAAGCTTCCATGTACCACCCTCCCAGCTCCTTGACATATTCACCAACCCAGTTCTCCAAACCCCTTTGTTTAGGACTTTGGTAGTGGTTCCTTTGGTAGGCAAGATGAATCAAATCACTGGCCGTGGGCAATTCAATCTCCAGCCCCTCTCCCCTGCCTGGAGATGGTGGTTGAGGCTGAAAGCCCCAGCACTAATCACATGGTTGGTCTTGTAATTAACCAGTCTTCACCCTTCTAGGGCCACCTTATTAGCATAAACTCAGGTATGGCTGAAAGGGGCTTATTGTGAATAACAAAAGACTTGTTTCACCCCTTATCACTCAGGAAATTCCAGGGGTTTTAGGAGCTTTGTGCCAGTAACCAAGGATGAAGATCAAATACGTATTTTTTTTAAGATTTTATTTTTAGGAGAAGGGAGGGAAAACAAGGGAAACATCAATGCGTGGTTGCCTCTCACACATCCCCTACTGGGGATCTGGCCTGCAACCCAGGCCATGTGTCATAGACTGGGAATCGAACCAGCAACTCTTTGGTTTGCAGGCTAGCACTTAGTCCACTGAGCCACACCAGCTAGGGCCAAATATGTATTTTTCATTCTATCACAGTAGCCTAGTATTGGACATGAAAATAGGCACTGAGCAAGTTGTGCCAGTGAACTGCATAGTCCATGAGACTACTGACTCTTCAGAGGACTCTGTGATCAATTATAGTCTGTACCCCAAAGCAAATGATCTGTATAGTGGGTTGATTAGAAATTTATAAATAAAATCTTAATTGACATCAAAATCTGTTCTTATTATATCCTTTTTTAAAAAATTTTATTCATTATTTTTAGAGAGCAGGGAAGGAGAAAAAGAGGTATCAATGTGTGGTTGTCTCTCACATGCCCCCCCCCATCCAGGGACCTAGCCCACAGCCCGAGCATGTGCCCCTACTGGAAATCGAACCAGCAGCCCCTTGGTTCGCAGCCTGCAGGCAATCTACTCAGCCACACCAGCCAGGGCTTATTCTTGTTATATCCTTATTCATACTTAACATGAAAGTTAGATAATAATCAGACCAGATAAGCGTCACTCCTGTTGCATAGTCAGACAAAGATGCATCAAATAAAAACAGTATTTACTCAGATCCCAAAACTGTTGTTAGCCTTGGGATATTATTGAATTTGCAGTAGTAAAATGTGTTATTCTGTGGGGGATGACAGGGCCCAAATCTGGTAATGCTTTTTAGTATGTTGTGAGGTCTGTAGTTGGTTGGCAGTCTTTTTTTCCCTTCTCCCTTCTATTTGTGGCCTAACTGGCTACCTAGCAGTTTATTGAATGACTATTTTTACTTTGTGATCTAACTTTCCTTTTTAGGGTGCCAGATTGATGTGTAGTTTAATAGCTAATAAATTAAGGCACATTTGGGGCTATATTCCTGCTTTCCTACCTTTTATAGCTGGTAGGTTACAATTAAAAAAAAAACTTAAGTGCATTTGCACTTTCTCCTCGAAAGACAGATGTAGGTGTAATTGAGACAAGTTGAACTGAAAAGTAAGTACTTCAGTGATTTGTGGTAGCAAGTGAACATTTGCTATCACTTTTAAGGTCCTGGCACTTTTTTTTTTAAAATACTTTATTTATTTATCTTTAGAGGGGAAGGGAAGGAGAGAGGGAGAGAAATATCAATGTACGGTTGCCTCTTGTGGGTCCCCTGCTAGGAACTGGCCTGCAACCCAGGCATGTGCCCTGACCAGGAATCGAACTGCGATCGACTGGTTTGCAGACCCGCGCTCAATCCACCGAGCTACACCAGCCAGAGCCCAGTCCTGGAACTTTTTAAGTAGCAGGCCTGCTATCGACTTCCAGTTTATTCTCTGTGGTGCACAGACATTCCTTCCTGAGCCCTGTATTTATATAATTTGGTTAATTATTTTCCAAGTGTGGATTAGGTATGCTATCCACATAATTTTTCCCCCCTGTAGTTTTATGTTAAGACTTGAAGTTTTTCTTTTATTGTTATTGATTCACTGCCCCTTTTGATCTAGTTTACACTTATCTGGAGGTTTCTGATCCTGTATTTAACAAACTCTGGAGATTAGAATGAGGTAGTTTAGTAGTCCACTGGAGAAAGAATATGTTGCCAGTAAATATGGACTGCAAAACAGTCTGTCTTATTAATTATTTAGTAGACACCATCTTTATTTTCTAGCTCCTATAATTTAACATTTTAATGAACGATACAAAGCAATAAACAATTCTCCAGATTTACCAGTTTAGGAGACCCAATTGTGAACATATATTGATTTTTTAAAAAAAACTCTTACAACTTGTTATATTTTCTAATGAGATCTAAAATCTCCCTAGTAGTTGGTGAGGGAGATGTATGTTTGGTATGATATAACTTAGGGTAATGTTTCACAGGCATCATCTTAACTTTCATTTGACTTTCTCTCATAGTTGGTGTATGAATTCTTCTTAAGATTTTTGGAGAGCCCTGATTTCCAGCCTAGCATTGCAAAGCGATACATTGATCAGAAATTTGTACAACAGGTAAGGAATTCTTATGTCTTAAAATATTCATCTTAGCAATGATTTATTAACTTGTAATTAAAATAGTCTTTCAAAACTTGTATGGTTTACTTCATTTTAACAGCACTTAATATTCTTGCCAATTAGGATAAAAATAAAGTACCTTTGAGAGTACAAGAGTACTTTAAAGAAAGGACAAGCTTCTAATGCAGTTAAATTATCCTATTCAAACCTAGACTCTGAGTTAGTTAATAAAGACCAGAAAAGCAAGCCTTTCTGGAATATTTAACTGAGAAAATTTGACCATTCAACCTAAGGGTAAACCTTATTTTTAAATTGTAAACCTTTGAAAACTCAAACTTGCCCTTGTTTTAAGCATTGTGACTTTGAAATGACAGAGAGAAAAGCATGGAAATGGGATTTTTGTTAGGAGTTTGGGCATTAGGCCCTTTCCTGTCATAAAGCATCAATTACCTTTCCCTTTTCCTTTCCCCTACGCACCTTAGGCATTGTAGCCACCCAATTCCTAAATCACAGATAAAATGGTCTCTTTAACTTCTTAAAGGAGACAGAGTTAAACATATGTAATACCTCTTTCTTTTTATAAATTGGTTATTAGTTATTTTTGGAACCTACATACTCAAAATGAATTTCTCATTTTGAGTTTATTTTCAAAATCAGAAATGTGTTTATTTTCAAAATCTTTTTAACAAAGTAAAGGCCTCTTTTTAACTATACAGAATTGGCTGGCCCAAGACAAAATTGTGAAATACAACAAATTTTTCTCTTTTGAAATACTAGTCGGTAAGGTTTTATTACGAATTTGATGCTCTCCTCTTCTGGAGTTACTTGCATTTTAAAGAAAGGTAGAAGGTGGGTGTAAGAGAATCAGTGAACCCAGTGCCAAGGCTGGGATTAAAATGACTACGAAGACCCTTTCCACCCTTGACCACCACTGTGTATTTCCTATGACAAAGCTTCTGCATACAGGAGTTGCACATATTTGGAGTTCATTTTTGGTTGTTCATAACTATCCCTCACCCCATGTAAAGTATTCTAGTTGCTATGAATGTATTGATAAACAAAGAACTTTGTCAATATGTCCTTCAGCCATTTAAACAGCTTTTCTTTAAACAATGAAGAATATTAGGTGTGTTAACAAAAAAAGTATGTTTCAATCACAAACAAAAATAAGGTTACATGAAACTTATTTTGGTAATTGAATGCATACCCATTTCCTTCTGTAGTTCTTGTGCGCTACAGAAGGAATATAGTATGTTAAGGAACTCTAGTAATGCCAAACTAAACTGTATTTAAGATAATAGCAGGTTGAGAGGAACAATTGCCTTAGTGTTTCTCCTCAGTCTGGAGCTTGAGGTGTTTTAGCTGCTAGATTATTCATGGGGCTAAGGGGGACAATAAAAAAAACAACTGGTACAGTGGAAACCATTTTCTACCTCTGATTGAAATGCCTGAATTAGTTGAGAAGGCTCAGTAATTTGTTTTTAACAGTTTGTATGACTGTTCTTTCATAGATCACTTCTCTCAGGTAATCTTAGTATGTTGTTTTAATAAATAGTATGTATGGGAATTCTCAGTTTCTGTATGCTGAAATTAACTAGGTGGTAAGTTTTAATACTTAAAAGTACAAAAGAAAAATCTTCGGTATAAATTTGGACAATCCATTTTTTCAAGAGAAGAAACTAATTGCATAGTTTCGGGTTGTGTTCAAATCATAGGGTTTCAGAAGAAAGAAGGAAGCTAGGAATTATTGAGTACTTTTTATGTGCCAGGCACTGTCCTTATGTAAAGAGCTTGACCATATCCAATTTTACACAGCCAGTCAATGGCACAATCAGAATTTGAACTAGACACTCTGACCTCTTAAAAAATAAAAAAAATTGGTTTCATCTTTTCTCACTTTATCAATGAAGAAACAGGCTCAGGGGTTATAAATTACCCTTAAAAGCACAGTTAGAGCCCTGGCTGGTGTAGCTCAGTGGATTGAGCGCGGGCCTGCGACCCAGACAATTGCAGTTTGATTCCCAGTCAGGGCACATACCAGGGTTGCAGGCCGGTTCCCCGCAGGCCACTTCCCAGCAGGAGACACGAAAGGCAACCATACATTGATGTTTCCCTCCCTCTCTCCTTCCCTTTCCCTCTAAAGATAAGTAAATAAAATCTTAAAAAAAAAACCAAAAACATACAATTATTAAGGTTCTTTTTTTTCCATTTTTTATTTTTATTTATTTTTTAAAATTATTTTTCAAGTACATTTTTTGTCTATTTCTCCCTTCCCAGCCCCCCCCACCTCCCTCCCATTCCCCCCCCAGTCCTCATCCCTGTGTCTTTCATACTTGTTCCTCAAAATCCCTCCCCATTTTTCCCCTTAAATTCGCTTCCCACTTGTTCTCTATTTCAGTGTCTTTGTTTTTTATTAAGGTTCTTATTTAAAAAAAAAAAAAAAAAGCACAGTTAGAGAAATATCAGAGCCAGAATAAGAAAGTTTCCTAAGTACTAGTTTTGTATTTGTTTCATTGTGTTAATATTATATATCTAAATAGACACTTAGATATATATTTCAAAATAGGTTTCAAGTAGCTTTGATACATAGCTAATAAATGTTCTCTAGTTAAAAATTTTTATCCCTGAGGAGCAACTTGCATTAAATGATGTCCTTTTTTAAATTTTATTCCATCACCATTCATCCCCCCATAGCCTCCTCCACCTCCGCCCCCGCCGCCAATCTCCACACTGTTTTATGTGTCCAGGAGTTGTTTCTCTGTTTTTTTTCTTTTTCACTTGATCCCTCTATGCCCCAAATTATATTTGTTCCTAGATTAGATATGACCACCTTAATTAAGAGCCCCTTTTATTGATTTGAAAGTATATCTTCCAAGCAACCCAACATCAGAAACTCAGATGTGAGGGTCTTAAGTGAGAGTAGTCATTTTTAATTAGAATGATTTGAACTGAATTTATTAGGTATATTAACACAGATTATCATGTTCCATGGATGGTTTTGGGGAAGCTCATACAGTGCTTCCATAACCTCATGGACAAAGAACTCAAACTCAGTAAGACACTTATTTAGGGGGTATAAATATGACAAAATCATTACTATCCTCAAAAATATTCACTCTAGAAGAGACACACATGCAAACAATTACATATAATTCAAGACAGAATGGAGAAAACTCCCAATGAGGTTCAGAGCTTGCTGTCTTAACTGTAATTATCAATACCAAAGTACAGAACATGCAATTCCTTGATGACTTTTTTTCAAGAGACTATTTTATACTTTTTCCTAAGAAACTCCAATGTTTCATTTAAAATGGTGATACTTTTTATGACAAAAGAAGTTCTGTTTCTTTACCATTTTCAAATATAAATTTGAGCTTTTGACTTTAAATTTTTCAAACATCTCTACCCTTGCCTTTGCTGAATAGTTGTGTAAAGGTATAAGAAAATGACAGTTTGGCCAAGTTGAACTGGTTTAAAATTTTCCAGCCACTTGCTAAGCTTTTAGTAAAAATCCGTGGTCTCATCTCTTCAGTGTTATTTCATGAATGACGACCACTCTGGTTTACCCAGTTAACTAAATACTAATTTTTGAGCTGTTGGCATGGTGATACTTGAATTTTTCAGTGCAAAATCACAAAAAAGCAGCCTTGGCTTATATAAATCTTTCTAGTAAATTGGAAATGTGCATGTGCATTTGTATTTTAACTTCATTTATTTAATGACTTGCAATCTACAAACATTTCGTATATGATTTTGACTTATAAAAAGCATGAAAAATCTCTTGAATTTTAACACTCTGAAGTTATGTGCCATGTTTAGTAGTCAAGAATGGGACAGAATTTTTAAATGAGTGATAAGGCAAAGAAAAATCCACACTTTGAAGCATTTACATGATTTATTTTGTCATTTTTTAAAAATTAGTGAAAAACACTCCCTAAGCTTTGCCTTAGCTTCTCTAGTTAGCAAGAATAAAATATATCTGATAAAGCAGAATCTTTAAATTTTTAAAAAAGATTTCATGGGTTATCTTAAAATAAGTATTAGAATAAAGTTTTGCTCGATTATTTTTAAAAAGTAATTTCTCAGTTTTTTTTTAAAGCTCCTGGAGCTTTTTGATAGTGAAGATCCCAGAGAACGTGACTTCCTGAAGACTGTGCTGCATCGAATTTATGGGAAATTTCTTGGATTAAGAGCATTCATCAGAAAACAGATTAACAACATTTTCCTCAGGTAAACTGGTCATCTGTTCATATATATAGTGCTTTTGCCCTTCTTCATATTTTCTTTTTATGCCAGTTTCTTTAGGTTAACTTTTAATATATGAAATCTTGAAATTTAACTGCTAGTATCTGAGTCATTTTTAGCCTGTTTTGTAGACATCATTTGCATGTAACATTAGAAATGTACAACCTGTTTTTCATTTACATGATAGTAGTAATGAAGTTTTTAATAGGTAATACCAATGTTATTCATGTTTAAGATTTATTGTGAGAATTTGTCTAGTCGTTTCTTTGAGCTTTTGTTTGAAAATTTTGTGTGCTATTTAAATCAGTAACTCTTGGGAATACTTTCATTTGATTTTCTGACAAAGCTAATTAAATTTATATGGGACCTATCTTCTGGCTACTTTATAAGTGATAGTTTATTTAATGTTGCTTCAAAGTAGAGTTCACTTTGATACCCATACTTGAGCTTTGGTATGTATGTTTTAATTGAAGATCTGGCAAAATTAGCTAGTATTCCCCATTGTAACAATTAGAAATGAGCAGCCTACTCCAGAGACAGCATCTTTGTCCAGCTGTTCGTCTTCCTCTCCCTGTCCTGTGTTCATTTGAGTTTGACTCCCTGCTTTTAAGGTGATCGTAATCTTGGAAAGCTAGGCAGCCTGTGTAGTTTAGGTTTAATGAAATTCTGAATAAAAGTGGCTTTATTAGATATGGATCCTTTTGAATTTTGAGTAGAGGTTTCCTATTTTGAGAAGTATTTCCTTGAGAAAACCCAACTTTCTCATAAATTTTAAGTAAAATAAAACTGCAGGTGAAATTATATTCTGTTACCTTAATATGTAGCAAGTTTTAGCAAAAGTATATGCTTAAATAGGACATATTTAAAAGCATCTGGTTTAGTAGGAAATAGATCTTCTTTATGAGATTACTAAGAAGTAACTGATTCGGGGCAAAATAGTTTACAAAGAATTCTTACAGCATGCTTGTACACCTCTCAGTAATTGCCCTTTGGATTGATTTCTTTACCTTCCTGCCTCTTTCTCTTAGTTTTCTGATGTTTGATTTTTTATTACATCCATCTTTATTTTAAATTCAGGTTTATATATGAAACAGAACATTTCAATGGTGTCGCTGAACTCCTGGAAATATTAGGAAGGTAGGCCAGTTTTTTGCTGTTGTTCTTTTTAAGAATTAAGTAACTTTGAATGTTTTATGTATTAAAAGCTTAGCTGGGATTGGAAAAATTATTTCCTATTTCAGGATTTAAATATAGAGTGCAAGACATCATTTCTCAACTGAATTCTTATTATAGTTTTTTAGAGGGTCAGCATATTCAAGTACTGCCATGCAAGACATCTGTTTCTGCAGAAGCTTCCTGCTTTTGAAGTTGTGGCATGTTTTACGCCTGCTCTTGCCAGACTGCCTCAGAAATTTACAGGATCTGGTTGGGAAGAGATGAAATAAGCTGTAGTGAATCTTTTATGAAATTAGAAGAATTCTTGTTCAGATGTTGACAGACCATTCCTAACCCATCTGTTCTTTTCGGAAGAATCTGCAGCCTTTGATTTTAGTTTGAGTGAACATTTTGCCTTCCTTATTCACCACATAGCATTATTAACTTGAGAGACATTTAGACCCTTCCTTCTACTTGTATAAGAATGATTTTAGCCCTCTCTAGTAATAGTTAGAGAATGAATATGGAGGGAACTACTTCTTAGTTTAAGATCCTCTACTAAAGAGAAACTACACATTTGCTTGAGAAAATATTGAAAATTTTTAATAATGTGATATTGAGTCTCCTGTGGCTTTAGGGAAAAATAAAGGCAATAATGCATAAATAAAGTGATAATGCTTTTATAGAAAATGAAGATAGAAATTACTACTGGGACATTAATTGGCAGTCTTAGTTTTCTTTTGGGATCATTGATTTAGAGGGAAGACTTGGTAGAAATAGTCTGTCTAAAGTAGTTTGAAGATGAGTCAGTAATTCAACACCAGGATTTAAGCAGAGAGCCCGTTCCTTGTGTGCTCATGGATATAATAACTTTTAGAAATAAAGTAGTAACTACTTAACCCTTCCCCCTGCCTTTTTTTCCCTCCAGTATTATCAATGGCTTTGCATTGCCACTGAAAGCAGAACATAAACAATTTCTAATGAAGGTTCTTATTCCTATGCATACTGCAAAAGGATTAGCTTTGTTTCATGCTCAGGTAAGTTTCAGGAAAATTTCAAATGAAATGAGATTTGTGTCAAAGACTGATATAAAGGCAGAGAAATTGAGAAATACTGAAGTGGCAATTTTAAGTATAATCAATCAAGCAGGTTGCTTTGTAAGTTGCCCGAAGCAAATTTTTATTATTTAAAGGTATTATATTTAGTGTTATGAAATCAGCTCAATGCACAATAAGTAAAGATATAGGAAAGAAAATACCAAGTTCTTTTCCATCCCAGGCCCTGACCTAATTAACTGACATTGAATAAATCCCACCCAACTACAGAATGTTCTGTCTAGTTGTGATAACCTAGCTAGTATCCCCTATTATACATGTAGAAAGATGCTGAAAAAGTAAGATGGTAGCTCTAGTCTTACTTCAATTAACTTTAGAACATCTTTTTTGAACTAGAAGTTACTTTCATGTTTAAAAAGTTACACAACTGTTAGTATATTAACTTTTACATATTGAGTTTAGAGTAAAATTTATCAAAATAAGGTAGTCATTTCTGTTAGCTGAATATAAAAATCCTGCATCACTGAATGTTACTTCACTCAGTAATATTTATAAAATATTCCTTACATTTTAGCTAGCCTACTGTGTTGTACAGTTTCTGGAGAAAGATACAACGCTAACAGAACCAGTAAGTGGTCTATTTTTATGTTCTTGATGTATATTGTAGCATTTCATTGTGCCTTTCTTTATGCTGTTATATATACTGTTACAGAGTTATCAAACAGTAGTAGTAATGTAGTTTAAACTAAAACCATTTACAAGGAATGTGAGCTTAATCTACACTCAGAACAGCATTGGGAAGGGGAGTTCTCATGAGTTACATGTCTTGAATAACTCAAATATAGATTACCTAATTATTAACATTGTAGTTGAAATGTGTGATGACAGGATCGAATGATTACAGTGAAATTTTATGGAGATGATCTTTTCAATCTCCATTCCTTTTAAAATTAAACATACTGTGGAAGTCCCACAATTATCCCCTTGAGTTTTGGTTTTTTTCCTTAGGAATAAGATTTTCCCTCTTATTAATGATAAACCACTTGATAGGGATTAAAAAAAATCTCCTTGACTTTGAAGTTTAAGATATAATTTCCAAATAAAAGTTATTTACTTCATGAATCATCCTAGCAATTCCATATTTGAATTCTATTGCTTACTTCCTGACTATAAGGTGATTCAGGAGAAAGTATGTTATCATGAAAAGTAACTGAAGATTCAAGAAAAACAAAAGATAAGGTAGGGAGAAATAGAAAAGTATAAAAGCATAGAAAACAAAACTTTAACCTTGGTGAATTGAACATTTCAGAGTGCTTTCTAGGGATCCTAAGTTTAAATATGTAAGTTCTTGAAACACTGCAAAGGGTTTGACGGATTTAAACTGTTTTTTAATGTCACAAACTTTAAGGCTATACTTAAGGGTGTTTGGAAAACAGTATATTCTTCCTTTGATTTGACTTTTGTGTAAAGGAACAAAAGACCTTTTTCTCACTTCGTGATGTTTTGAGTTTTTAGACTTTGATTTGCAGTTCTTTCTGAAAACAGCTAAAAATAGTTTTGAAAGACAAATCAGGAGACTTGGAGGCTCAGTCTTTATGTGAAACCACGTAAACCTCTAAAATGGAATAAAAATACAAATCCATAACTCTCAGAATTGAGACAAAGAAAAGCCATAACATAACTCATGATTTGTGCTTGGTGAATAGTAAACAGATACAATTTACATATATTACATTAACATGGGGGGGATAGGGAAGATGGATGATTTTTTTTTAAAGAGATTGCGCATGATGATGGCCAGACATCTGGCTTAATGGAAACAGAAGCCAGATGAGAAGATAGTAAAAGGTAAATGTGTACATTGACAAAGGAAAATACTTTTCAGTTCATAAAGATCTGTTGATACATCTTGCAGTTCCTACCATAGGCTATTCCAGCACCCAAATTATGGCCAGGTTACTTGGATCTGAGCCTTTAGGCTATTCCAGCACCCAAATCATGGCCAGGTTACTTGGATCTGAGCCTTAATACTCATTTTCTAGAAAACTGGCATTCATAGCAAAGCTTCCTATAAATTATAGATAAGTCAGAGCTTTGGCTAGGTTATTACATTCTATATATACCTAAATTTTGTGTTGAAATTGTTTTCTACAATGGAAATGACTATTATCTCTCTGTTTATGAAAGTAATGTGTGTTAATTTTGGTTCACACGACACAAAATCATAAAGCACAATGCAGAGGATGTTCTTTGAAACGTTGTTCCCTAGAGGTAACCATGTAAGTGAATATATTTCTAGAACTTTTTTGCTGTGTAAGTGTAGGTTAATCCAATGGTGGGACAGTACTGACCAGGTTTTTTCACCTCACAGTATAATGTGGGTATCTTTCCATACGAACTGCCTTTGTTTTTCCCTCTGGTAGCATCAGATGCCATTACGGATTGCCCTGACATGTTTAATCAGAATCTTCCATTAACTGGCACTTGAGTTATTGGCATTTTCATTGTTACAAACATGTTACTGGGCAATGGGATGTACTTTAGGGGGTTGGACTTGTTCTGTGTCCTGTCAGTAGTTACAAAAAAAATCTGTGGGCATAAGAAAAATTTTACTGCATTTCCTTTTTTTTAAACCAAATTATTAATTTAAAACATGTTGCTGGGCCAAAGAGTACAGGAAAATTTGAACACATTCCAAGTTGCCTTCCACAAAGTTGGAACAATTTAACATTCCAATCCAGAGGGTAAAGGTACCTGTTTTCCCTTACTCTAGCAGAACATTGTTTTTGCTTGAGTTAAAATTTTGCTAGTCTAATAGGTATTAGATATTTTGATTGGCTTTTCCCATTACAGGGATTGAGCCATTCTTTTATACAGTTATTGGTCATTTACAGTTCTGCATCCTTTTGCCTTTTAATCTTTTCTGTCCATTTGGAGTTTTTTCCTCTAACTTTCCTCTGTAGTTTTAAATCTTTGCCTTAAAGAATTAACTTTTTATGTAGTGGAATGTATTCATCATTATGGCTTCTGGCCTTGCTGTCATTTTATAGTATCATATTCTGGTTATTTTATGGATTTAGTTTTTATCTGTAAAAACTTCATTCCATCTATTAATTGTTTCCTAGCGCTGCCATGACAAATTACCACAAACCTGGTGGTTGGAAATAACAGAAATTTATTCTCTCACAGTTCTGAAGGCCAGAAGTCCAAAATCAAGGTGTCGGCAGGGCTGCATTTCCTCCAGATGCTCTAGGGGAGATTCCGTTCCTTGCCTCTTCCAGTTTCTGGTGTCTCCGGGTGTTCTTGGCTTGTGGCTGCATCGCTCCAGTCTCACTTTGCTGCCTCTTCTGTCTCTTAAAAGGACACTTGTTGGATTTAGGGCCCACCCCAAATGACCCAGGACAATTTCATCTTGAGATCTTTAACTTAATTCTATTTCTAAAACATCCACTTTCCAAATAAGTCACATTCATAGCCTCTAGAGATCAGGATATGTACATTATCATTTTGAGGATCACCATTCAGTGCACTACACTATTTGAAATGGAAATTTCTGTGTGAGAAGGGTAAGGAACTGTATCAGTTTTCTATTGCTGAATAACAAATTATTACAAGATTTAGTGGCTTAAAACAAACACTTATTATCTCTGTTTCTGTGAAACAGGAATCCAGGCATGACTTAGCTGGGTTCTCTGCTACAGGGTCTCTTACAGTGCTGCAGTTGCTGTGTTGTCCAGGGTGAGGTCTCATACAAAGGCTCAGATGAGGAAGATATACTTCTAAGTTCACATGTTTGTGTGGCCTTAGGGCCTCTGTTCTTACCTGGCTGCTGGCTAGAAGCAACCCTCAGTTCCTTATCATGTGGGCCTCTCCAATGTAGTGGCTTGCTTTATCCAAGTTGCAAGATGAGAAGGCTTTAGCATCTGCTAGTGAGGTGGAAGTCACTAGGCCAGCCCACACGTAAAGATTACACAAGAATGTGTATTCAAGAAGTAAACATTGTAAAAATTATTTTAGGAGTCTGGCTACCAAAGGAGCTACTTCCCTCCCCCACTAAATGGTGAGCCCCCGGTCCAAGTGCCACCACTTAACTAAGTCATCTGTTTCTCACGGAACTGAAATACCCCCTTTGTCATATATTAAACCCCATATAAACGTGAGTCAGTCTGGTTACTCCATGTCTTTTCTGTGAGTTTCCATGCTAATACCATCTTGTTTTAATTGCTGATATCAGGAGAGCAGGTTCCATTCCATTAATTCTCCCTCTCTTCCTCCCCCCCTTCCCTATTCTTGGTTATTTGCTTGTATTTGTGGATTTTAGAATAAATGTTTCTAGTTTCAGAAAATAATTCAGTTGGCATTTGATTGAAATTATATTAAATATATAAATAAAGTATAGAAGAATATACAATACTGAATCATCTCATTTGTAGCCTTTCATGATATTTGGTAAAGTTTTAGTTTTCTTCATATATTCGATAAGTCTTAAAGAATAGTTTATGTAATTAGTTGTTATTATAAAAGGTATATTTTTATTTACTCCTGACTTGTATCAATAATAAGGTATTGGTTTTTATATCTTTTATCTGACCATATATTAAATTTCCCTACTTTAACTTTTTCTCATTTAATAAAACTATTTTGCTTTGTAAATATTATTTTAAAATTATAAAAATATACTCAAGACAAATAAGTACAATTCTGATATTTCCAAAGTTTTACATCATATCCTTTCATCTTACTTGATTGGCTCCAGATCAGTGTTCCCAGTTTTAATTTGAATGGGTGTTCTTCATTACTGGACCAAACCAATGAGTATAAAATAACCTAACAGGCTGGCAGAGATCTAGTTCCACAAAAGCACTAGAACCAGGTGGTTTTACAGCCTCTTCCTAAGAAACTTGATATAAGGTGACTGCTGCTGGCTTCTAGTAAATTCTTAGTTCTAAGCTATTAACTTGTTATCAGAATATATTCTGTTAAAAATCTTTTAGGGTACAACTATGAGTTGAACCACCCTGAAATTTCTAAGAGTAAATTATAATTGGTCAGATAGTATTCTGTTAACATACTGTTATTCACTTTAATATAAAATTTCGTAACTATGTTCCCTTAATCTCATTTTGTTACATTCTGGTCATCAAGGTGGTGCTATGAAACAAATTGGGAAGCTTTCTGGCTTTTTTGGTGCTTCATAATAGTTTTAAATAACAAGAATTATCTGTCCTTTATTTTCTCCCTCAAATAACCTATACCACTCAACCCAGCAGTTGTTATATTTTCTTAGTACTAGCACTTACTGCTATTAATTATTTTCTTGGTCTCCCTGCTTCATGATAATCAGGGACCTTATTATCTATCTTGTTCATCAACCTCTAGAACAGTATGTGGTATAACCACAATAAATATTTATTAAATTGATAAAAGCCTAAAACTGAACAGAAAGTGTGGGGATATACTTAGATATTAAATAACTCTGATCTGAGTACTTCAGATTGTTATTAAAAATTTCCTCGGATTAACCAGCTTCATTGCTTAATTCATGCTAAACTTTTTTTTTTTGTAGGTGATCAGAGGATTGCTGAAATTTTGGCCAAAAACATGCAGTCAGAAAGAGGTGGGTTTTTGTTCAGCAGCAGTAGTACATTCCATCAGTACTGAATCTCAGGGCCATACACGTGTTTCTGCTGTCGCTGCTACAGAGCAGGAGGTGTTTGGGGATCAGGGGGACTGGTAGAATAGCTGTCAAGTCCTTTTTTGTCCACTATGTAATTTGTAGGTTAACTTCCTCATTGTCGTTGTCTATATTAACATCTTACAATCCGTCACGTTTCTTAAATTTTTTTTAACCCAGGTGATGTTTTTAGGAGAAATTGAAGAAATCTTAGATGTCATTGAACCAACACAGTTCAAAAAAATTGAAGAGCCCCTTTTTAAGCAAATATCCAAGTGTGTATCCAGTTCTCATTTTCAGGTATGATGTTTCAGTAAAGCCATTTTTCTTTCATACTATTTCTTTTTCTCTTTTGTTTTGACATTTAAAAATATTTTTTAGGTTGCAGAAAGGGCATTGTACTTCTGGAATAATGAATATATTCTTAGTTTGATTGAGGAGAACATTGATAAAATTCTGCCAATTATGTTTGGTAGTTTGTACAAAATCTCCAAAGAACACTGGAATCAGTAAGTGTCTTTTGTGTTCATTGTTATTCTTGTGTGTTTTTTTGTTTTAAGCTTTTTGTCATATGCTCTCCTAACTCATACATGAAAGCTATACAGATTGGGAACTTATTCCAAAATTAACATCACATAGTTTTATTCTGTTCTATACTTCATATACTTAGAGCTTTATAAGGTATAAGTATGTGTATGTTCTTAATTTCTATTTAAAATTACAAATCTCCCTGGAGGTAGGACAGTCTGTTGCGGCACCAGTGCATGGTCAAACCTTACAGGGGAGACCGAACCAACATTTGTGGAGGATACACAAATAGTAACTGTGTAAATGTCAGGTTGGGCTGACCTGCTGCCGGTAGTGGAGTCGGCGGAGCTGGAGGTCTAGATGGCACTGATGTTTAGGTGGTATATATTTTAATTTCTGTGACATCCCTTTCACTTTTCGGTAGTTGGATGTTTTTCGCATTCTTTTAATGCTGCTGTTCCTTGGGGTTTGAGACTGTAGAAAAGACATGAAGATAACCCTAACAGTTTAGTGAGTTTAATCTGAGCATGATACATTGGGAAGGACGTGTTTTGGAATCAGACAGACCATCTCTACCACCACTGACTGTGTGACTGACCTAGGGCAAATTACTAAACGTCTTGCATTTCAGTTTATCATCTCTAAAATAGATTAAGTGAATCACCCAACATTTAACCCATTTCAGAGATGACATCATTACATTTCCTGTTGTTGGCATCAATAACCCAGCACTGGCTTATTTTCATTTTAGGACCATCGTAGCACTGGTCTACAATGTGCTGAAAACCCTAATGGAAATGAATGGCAAGCTTTTTGATGATCTTACTAGCTCATACAAAGCTGAAAGACAAAGGTATTTGATGATATTAATGACATTTTAGGTTAGTTGAATGTCATTCAGTTAAATAAGGTATCTTCAGTTACATTACAATTTGTTTCCAGGTAAACCTCCCCAAATGGTTAAATTATGATCTTAATGTGAATCATAAATCTTCTGCTGATCTCATTCTGAGCCTTAGACTTCATCTGTCTGGTAGCATCTGCATTGTGAAATACAGTTTATGCAATTTGATTTTTAAATGCATGAAGATAATTTGTTCCCATGGGCTTTCATAGTGAGCTTTATTGTTCATCTACTGCTTGCACAAGAGCTTTTTTTTTTTTTAAGCTGCCCATCTTACCAAGGTGGCACTTGAAAGTCAGCATAGAGAAATCTCTTTTGGAAAGAGAACTAATATAACAGTATGCCCACAGCTTAGTACTGTTAATATTTTGTTCCTTCCAATAATATATAACTTCAGAGAATAAATGATAGCACTTAAGCATTTAGGAACTTGTCTTAGTGAATTACCTGTAGTTTGAGAATTTCATATACTACCACAAAATAATCTAAAAGTTCCTTCTTTCTCATATTTATTTCAAACGTCAGGTGGGCAGTAACTACTGTACTTGAGCCCACCTATCAGCAGTTACCATTTACTTCTAATAAATATATTGCCTATTCTGTGTGGAAAAGCTGATCTGTTTCAGTTAGTCCTGGTTTTCTTGTGGCAAGTGCAGAAAAGGCCCTGAGAAACTAAGTAAGTACATTTTTCTAGATAGCACCTTTCAGGCAGGAATATAAACTAGGTATATAGTTTTGAGCCCCAGTGACAAATAGAAAGAAAAAACAACTAGGATCATATACAACTCATATTTCAAAAGTGTAATTTCACATGACTAAGAAAAATCATAAATCAGTACTTTTGTCCCCTTAAATCATATGTGACTTCAGAACTATAAGCCCATGTTCTCATAGCTTTTTCAAGTTGAAATTGAGTAGTGGGAACAGTTTGGTTGTTCTTTAGAAGTTTTCATTTGACGTGTAAGAGACTAGAGATATGGTACCAAGGGATGCCGATCAGCTGAAAATGGCTCCAGGCCAGCCCTTCACTCTGTCTGTAAAAGAGTGACTGTGACGACTACAGCAACCACAAGAAGTTCATGTGAATGTAGAAGTACTTTGGTCAAGACTTCCCATCAAGGTAAAACACTGTGCTCACCTTCTCCCAGAACCACATCACACTAATAAACAGAACCACCTGAAGACCATTGGAATGGAAGTCCTGTAACAAAAGATAAAAAGAAGCCACAATGAGGAGACTGGTAGGAGGGATATCTTGGGTGTAGAGGTGCCCTGACCCCCACACCGAGAAGTGAGGGGTTCCCATAACCTCTGGCATCCCAGACATTCCTCTTGAGGGGCCTGCACAAGACTCACTCGCTGTGGGCTTCTGTACAGGGACACACAAGGCTAGATAGGGAAGTGCACGGCAGCTCTCCCAAAAGGAAGCAGGTGTCACATCTGAGCTAACACCACATACCTTTGCTTGTACTGTGGACTTTTGTAAACTCTCTTAAAAATCTACAAACCCCTAAAAAGCAGCGGCTAGCTTTGGAGTGTTCTGTACCTCTTCCTAAGCAGCCCCAAGCTCAAAAACAAGTGGTGATTAGTCTTAACTTGCATTAGGTGGCTCCAAGCCAACAGCCACAAACCTGCCCCAAGTGATGACCAGCCTCACTTCACATTGTGGTGCTCACCAAAGGGCCTCTAACCCAACACCTAGCCTGCGTTTGCAACACACCCTCTCCCAACTGCCTCCAAGCCCTACATGCGCAGCAACTAATCACAGATCACTTTGTAGCTCCCACCAGGTTACCCCAAGCTGGGCACAGATGGTAGCTAACATTGGCCTGTACCAACACTAGACCTATTTACCAGCTTCTTAGTCAAACCAGAGTACCAACTAGCTCCGCAAAACACACACCTGAAGGGCAGACTCACCTCACATCAGAGCCATGTTAAAGGAACCTCTGCTCAATGGAGTCAGTCCTCACCCAACAGCTTGTCTTCTGTAGTCACAGCCAGCCTGAGGGAGAACCCACCCACTGACATGCCAGCAGCCATCGAGGCTCAACTAAAACAGAAGGGCACATAACTTACAGAAGGGACACTCTCTGCAGCATCTATCTCAAGTGACCGGGGAGACTACACAACAGGGCTCCATATAACACCTACTACATAAGGCCACTCTGCCAAGACTCACGAAATGTAGGTTGACTAATCAAAAGAAACACAGCCAAACAAACAAACGTCCCAAATGAAAAAGTAGGGCAAAACTCCCATAAAGAACTAAATGAGATGGTGACATACAGTCTACCTGAAGCAGAGTTCAAAATACTGTTAATAGGGATGCCCAATGAATTTTGGGAAAAACAGAGATGGAAAAACAGACACACAAAAATACCAGTTAGAGGGAATCAGCAACAGATTAGATGAAGCAAAAGAATGAATCAGAGATCTGAAAGACGGGTAGCAGAGAATACCCAACTCAAACACAAAATTTAAAAAATGAGAATAGTTTCAATGACCTCTGGGACAACATCAAGCAACATTTGCATCATAGGGGTACAAGAAAGAGAGAGGGATTAAAAACCTATGTGAAGAAATAATGACTGAAAACTTCCCTAACCTGAAGAAAGAGTCATACAAGTCCTGGCGCGCCAAACAAGATGAATCCAAAGAGGCCCACATAATAATTAAAATGCTAATACAGGTTAAAGACAAAGAATCCTTAAAAGCAGCAAGAAAAATGCAGTGAGTCTACATACCAGGGAGTTCTCATAGGACTGTCAGCTGATATCTCAACAGAAACTTTGCAGTCCAGAAAATATTGGCATGAAATATTCGAAACAATGAAAAGCAAGGACCTACCCAGGAAAGCTGTCATTTAAAGGAAAGATAAGGAGCTGACCAAACAAGAAAAAGCTGAAAGAGTTTGTCACCACCAAACCAGTATTATTACAAGAAATGTTAAAGGGACTCCTTTAAGAAATAGGAGTGGAGATGGGGATCAAAAATATGAATATTAAATGGCAATAACCACATACCATCAGTAATTAAGTGTAAACAGATTAAATGCTCCAATCAAAAGACATAGGGTAGCTGAAGAGATGAGAAAACAAGACCTACACATACGTTGCCTATAAGAAACCCACATATGATTGGCACAGACTGAAAGTAAAGCAATGGACAAACCTTTCATGCAAATGGTAATGTGCAAAAGCAGGGATAGGAATGCTTATTAGACAAAGTAGACTTTAAAACAAAGGCCATAACAAGAGACAAAGGAGGACATTTCATAATGGTAATGGGATCAACACAAAAAATATAACCCTCCTAAACATTTACACATCCAATACAGGAGCACCTAAATATATAAAGCAAATATTGACTTGATGGGCATGAAGGGTGGTGGTGGGAGAGAAATCCAGTCATAGTAGGAGAATAACCTTATATCTAAAGGAAAGAAAAAAAGAAAATCCAAAGTGAGTAGAAAGAAGGAAGTAATAGATATGAGTGGAGATAAATGAAATAGTTTTTAAAAGCAACATATCAATGAAACCAAGAGCTGGTTCAGTAAACAAAACTGATAAACCTTTCACTGGACTCATCAAGGAAAAAAAGAACCCAAATAAATAAAATCAGAAATGAACAAGAAGTGACACCTGACATCACAGAAATACAAAGTATTACATGAAAATACTATAAACAATTATATGCCAGCCAATTGGACAACCTGGAAAAATTGGATAAATTCCTAGAAACACAATCTTCTAAGACTGAATCATAAGGAAATGGAAAATCTGAACAGACTGATTACAACCAACTAAATCAAAGCAATAATAATTTAAAAAAAAAAACAAGTCCTGGACTGGATGGCTTCACAGGTGAATTTTACCAAACATTCAAAGAATTACCACCTATTCTTCTCCAACTATTCCAAAAAATTGAAGAGGAGGGAAGGCTTACAAGCTCATTTTATCAGGCCAGTATTACCCTGATTCGAAAACCAGACAAAGACACTACTAACAAAAAAATTATAGGCCAATATCCCTGATGAAAATAGATGCAAAAAATCCTTAACAAAGTATTAGTCAACTGAATTCCCTGATAGATTATAAAGATATAAAAAATGGGATCCATCCTAGGGATGCAAGGATGGCTCTATATTCATAAGTTAAAGTGATACACTACCATAAATAAAACGAAGGATAAAAATCCTGATAATAGAGAAAAAGCATGAGAAAAATCTAACATCTATTTCAGATAAGAACTCTCAACAAATTGAGAATAGAGGGAACATACCTCAACATAATAAAGGCCATGTATAACAAACAGAAAGCTAACCTCATACTCAGTGCTTTTTAAGATCAGGAAGACAAAGATGTCTATTTTTATTGAACATAATATTGGAAGTCCTTGCCGTAGCAATCAGATAAAAAAAAATAAAGCATCCAAACAGCAAGCAGTCATTATTTGCAGATGAGTACACAAAAAAAACTACTAGAACTAAAGCAGCAGGATACAGAATATAAGTCAGTTGCATTTTTAGACATCAGTAACAAACTATGAGAAAAGGAAATGTCATTTACAGTAGCATCAAAAAGTAAAATATATAGGAATAAGTTTCACCAAGGAAGTAAAAGACCTGTACTCGGACAATTAAACTGAAAAGGATTCAAATAAATGGAAGTATACTATGTTCATAAATAGGAAGAGTTAATGTTATTAAAACATCCATACTACCCAAAGCAATCTCTAGATTGATTGCAATCCCTATCAAAATACCAATGGCATTTTTCACAGAACTAGAACAAATAATACTAAAATTTATGTACAACATGAAGACCCAAATAGCCAAAGCAGTCTTTAGAGAGAAGAATAAAGTTGAAGGTTCACAATGATGTCAAACTATACTGCAAAGCTATAGTAATTTAACACCATATACAAGAATAAATTCATATGTATTAAAGATTCAGCTTTAAGACCTAAATCCATAAAACTCCTAAAGCAAACAGGAAGTAAACCCTTTGACATTGTTCTTAGTAATATATTTTTGATGTCTCCTCTAGCAAGAGAAAGACCACCTACTGAATGGAAGAAGATACTTGCCAAAAGTGCATATAATAAGGGGTTAATGTCTAAACTATATAAGGAAATCATACAATTTTTTAGCACCGGAAAAAAATCTGATTAAAAAAAATGGGCAGAGGACTTGACTAGAAAATTTCCAAAGAGCACACACATACAGATGGGTAATAGACATATAAAAAGATGCTCAATGTCAGGGAAATGCAAATGAAAACCATAATGATACATCACCTTCTACCTGTTGGAAGGGTCATCATCAATAAATCAGCAACCAAGTGTTAGAGAGGATGTCATGTGGAGAAGAGGAACCCTGGAATTCTGTTGGTGGGATTGCAGATTGGTGCAGCCACAATAGAAAACACTACGGCAATTCCTCAAAAAGTTAAAAATAGAACTATCTTATGATGCAATAATCCACTTTTGTGTATTTATCCAGAGAAATCCAAAATGCAAATTTGAGAAGATATATGCACCCCTATGTTCACTGTAGCATTATTCACAATAGCAAAGACAAGGAAGCAACCTAAGTGTCCATCAACAGGCAAATGGAAAAAGTTCATGTTACATACAATGGAATACTTATTACTCAGCCATAAAAATAATGAAATCTTACCATTTGTGACAACATGGATGTACTTAGAGGGTATTATGGTAAGTGAATTGTGTCAGAGAGAAGAATAAATACCATCTGATTTCCCACACACGTGGAATCTAAAAAACAAATGAAAAATCAGTTACACAGATACAGAAACAAACACAGCTGCCAAATGGGAGGGTGCTTGGGAGGATGAGTGGAAAAGGTGAAGGGATTAAGTACAGATTGCAAGTAATAAAAACAGTCACTGGGATGTAAAGTACCACATATGGAAATACAGTCAGTATCATTAGGAGAGAGAGACACCGAGTCAGTAGGTGCTCCAGGTAACTGTCCTAAAACACCTTAGTAGGGGGATTTAAGTGGAATGTGTTTTCTAGCAAACTGCCAAACAGCATGTTCTTTCGGTTCTGAAATAAAATTCTGCTTTATCTACAGAGAGAAAAAGAAGGAATTGGAACGTGAAGAATTATGGAAAAAATTAGAGGAGCTAAAGCTAAAGAAAGCTCTGGAAAAGCAGAACAGTGCTTATAACATGCACAGTATTCTCAGCAATACAAGTAATGAATAAAAAAAAGCCTGCCACTTCTGTTGGACAGGCAGTTTTGTACACTTTTTCAAAATATGTAAAAATTATGAAACAAACCTCATCAGTATAATTAAAAGGCCAATTTTTTATGGCAACTGTAAATGAAAAAACTATATGGACTAATAGCCCTGTGCTATCAAGGCCACAGTATATTGTAACATTTGTCTAATCATTGATTTATTGTGTCACTTCTGAAGTTTCACAAAAATGAATGAACTTTATCATCTATAATGAGTGAGATAATTATGGGAGTGGTAAGAATTATGACTTGAATTCTTTTTTTTATTGTGTTGCACATAGATAAAGTAGTCTGCTCTGTATATTTTTCCCTTTTATAATGTGCTTTTCACATTGCTGCAGACCTTAGTTACATCCTAGGAAAAAGAGTATTTCCTGAAATAAAACTAAGGTATATATAATCCTTACCCTTCCCTTAATCCCTCTCAGGAATGTGATGGGGGAATTACCTGCCCTAAGCCTGCCTTCATTAGAGATAATGCTGTACTCTGGAGTTTGAGCAAGAACTTAAATCTCCAGGCTTTTTAAAGCACAAAATATAAATAAAAGCTGGGAAAGTAAACCAAATTCTTCAGGTGGTTCCTCATGAATACTCCCCTCATCTGCAACTCCCCGGTGATGCGCACAGGTTAGTGGAGGCAGTGCAGGCGACACTCGGCCGCCTCTCCATTCATTCCTCCTCCTCCTCCTCCTCCCAAAGGCTGAAGGCAGGGCCCTTCCAGTCCTCACAACCTGCCTTCCCTCCAGTCCCTCCTGACCCAGGAAAGGGGCTCTGAGTCCCACAGTGTGGTGACCCGGAGCGCTCATTGCCACTGCCTGGCTTTATTTAAAGGAAATGCAGTAGGCTTCCTCTGTAGAGTTCTGAGAAAGTTGACTATAGAGAAGTCTTGTATGTCTATACTTGGTCAAGTATTTCTCACAAATTTTGTTATCAGAGTACCATTCCAATCTCTTGCAGTCGTGTGGAAACTGTTTTGTAATGAAAGATCTTCATTGGGGGATTGAGCAGCATTTAATAAAGTCTATGTTTGTATTTTGCCTTACGCTGTCGCTGTTCCTTTCAGCTTTCAGTTTAGCATCCAGAAGAAGCTGCCCCCCTTTATACATACACGTACATACATACATACATACGTGTGTAAACAGAAAACTTGAAGGCAAGTTGTGGGACTATTCTAACTAAAAAATAAGATTGTGACAATTTGAGTGTTCTGGCCATTTTCCAAAGTACATCTGTTTTACAGAACATTTATAAAATTCTAAGATACCTTCAGGTCCCTTTATGTTCAGAAGATGGAGTTAACTTACCTTAAATGTTAGTTTTAGTTAAAATAGACCCAGGAGGATAAGTCTCAAAACCTGTAATAAGTAACAGCAGTTTTTGTGATTGAGCCAAGTCAGAAGTCAGGCATTATCAGTAAGTTTCTAATGACTGATTCCACCTTTTCACATGCGTGGAAAACTCTAGCACAGGTTCCGCACACTCCTCCCAGGTCACTGTAAAAGCACCTCCTTTCACTCACGCGGCTCCAGCAGCACCTCTTCCTTTTCATGGCATGGCTCACATTTTTACACTGTTCTTCCACGGGCGCCTCACCTCAGCCATCCAGGTCAAGGTGCTCTCGCCAGAGCCTCCACGCTAACCAAGGCCGGCTGGTACTGACCGCTGGGGGTGCACGGACAGAGGGGGAGCGTACTGCAGGAGTCAAAACTAAGCTAGAAAGTGACAGTTAGGGCTAGACACCCACTCTGTGGACGTTTAGGCATATATGTCTTTAAAGAGCAGCCAGGGTGGACTTGGCCAGGCTGCAGCTAATAATAGTTGTTAGGTTCTTTTCTTTGATGAGCTAAAAATGCTCACTTCCTAATTATCTACTTATTAAAGAGCACAACTAAGAAGTCTCAACTCTCTACAATATAGAAAAATGCTTTAGGCTATTCATTGGAGTAAATTTTATTAGACATTTAATGAATGTTAAGTAATATTGAAGTGGTGTGTCATCTGTAGAGATACTTTAAAAATACACATCTGTTTTTTTGATACTGTTAATGTCACGTCTTTATGCTTGGCTTTGTATTTGCCTTACAGCAAGATTCTATAGCCACAAGACCTAGGCTAAAGTTTGAATTTGCCTATTCTTATGACACAGAGAAAAGTAGCAGGGACTATTTTAGTAAAAAGCATAGTTTCTTGCTGCTAAATTAGACATGAGATTTTAAAAAATGCCCACTCACACATGTGAGTTTTCCTCATTGAATTAACCTAAAGGCAGGTTATGAAATTCAGGAAATGCTACAAAGTCCTCTTTGGATGCAAAGGGCCCGTAAATAACTTAAAACACTGGAAACATTTCATGACCTTAATCCAGCCTATGGCTAAAGTTTTTGTGGAATTAACACAGCTTCTCCACGGGACTTGATCCATCGCTTTTCCTGCCCACCCTCCCCTTCCCCCAGACACTGGTGACGAACCTCAGGAGTCCAGACGAACCTCAGGAGTCCAGACGCTCCTTGCAGGAGTCCAGGTTCACGCCACCCTTTCTCCGGAGGTCACAGAATGAAAGTGTACGGTTGCCTACTGATTAAGCAGATATTCATCCTGGCACACTGATTCCTTTTGTATTAACCTAACTTTTATTTACCTGTTAAAAAATCATCAAAATACAATGAATAGACACCTACTTTTGTACATTTGTACTAGTGCTTTTGCGTGTGAATCACTCTAAACTGTTACGGTAGGTAGCTAGTCAGTCCACAGGAAATCTAATTACTAGTACATAGTAGCTTCAAAAATCTCATTTAACAACAGATAAGAAAGCGACATAAAAGTGTTTGCCTTTGTGGAAAGTGCACAGGTTTGAAAGCACGACCTACCCATCTGGACAGCCACCTCTCCTCCACCCGCTTTCAAAACCTCAGGGGAAAAAGGTAAACAGCAGAGCCTTAATACGCTGTCACGGGTGAACTGTACACCAAACCGAAGCAGAAGGCGGCTTTGACAACCTTCAGAGGACCAGCTGTATTCCTAATTCCATCTTCCACAAACCCTGCTCGTATGCCAGAGTCAAAAATGATCATTAATAATTTAAGTACTTAAATAACTTTTAGGTCATCCATTGGGTCTGTCCGGCAGGCTGTCCCCCACGCAGGCCCAGTCTGCAAGAGACCAGGAGTGCCGGGAGCTCCGTCTGTCAAAGGGGAAGCAGATACAACTTCCCTTCACGCGGGGCAGTTCCATGAACGAGGCGGCTTCAGCTTATATGGTTTGTTGCCTGGCCTCTTTTTTTCAGGTATCTCTTCTTAATTTTGATCATCCATTTCACACTCAGTTTGGCAAACTCTGCTGCTTTAAATAATGCCAAGAAGGCCCCGCAGAGAAGAGCGATTGTGTTCCAAGGATTGGCTGTGATGATCTGTAAAACAGAACCAACTCGAGTTCATCAGTTTTGACTCTGAGGCGCCTGGGTGACAGAAAACCACCGGGGCTCTACAACTGTCGTAACTACGCCTCACTCATCCTTTCATGTCCATAGTTCAGTTTGAGGACTAGAATACTAGGCCCTCGCTACAATAAAGTGATTGATTCTGGAAGGAAAAAGATGTTTTTCAAAATAGGTCTGCACAAAAATTCAATACAGAGCTTTAATATTCTGGCTCACAGTAAGTGGCTTTGCCTTGAGATGAATTTCTACAAAACTACACCCATTCCATGAGGAAGGGCAGCTCCTCCTGGTTCTTCCCATCTCAGTGACCCAAACTTCCCCCACCCAATCCAATGGCCGCCCTTCCACACTCACGTCAGAGGTGTGTCTCCAGGCTGTGCCCGACTCCCCGCCTGTGACACCTTCCTGCTACCCGAGTTACTCACCCCTCCAGGCTCCTCAGAGCCTTCCTCTGTCCACTACGCCAAACCCTCCCTTACCCCACGGTCTCCTTTCGCAGTTATTTACTGTCTGGAATGAGTCACTTTACAGCTACGGATGGCTTCCTCGGTAAATGTTAAACTCTCTGAGACCCACATCATGGATTTCTGAATTCCCCGTCATGGTAAACAGAGCACTTTTAAGTCCCGGTTGTAGCTGAGACGGTCGGAGCCTCAGGGTTCACCTGAGCAAAGTGGCTGCATCACCACCACCGTCCAGGACCGCTGTGGAGCTCAGTGGCAGAGCAAGGCAGGCCATAACAGCCACCTCTTACTGAATAAATACAGGTTCCCAAACACCTGACCACGTGATCTGCCTGCAGAGCTGAAGGTGTTCATTCTCGGCCCAGAGTCCGATCCACTAAGCCTCTGCACAAGCCTCTCTGTGCACGCCCTTGCCAATCCACCATTTACAGTGGCGGCGGGTTTGTGAGCACATCCGTGTCACAAACACCCTCCCCATTTAAGTCTCAGCTCTGAAACGTCCTCCCCCAAGCCAAGATCTCGGCAGGACATTTTGTGACCACCTGAACACAGATCGGTCCCGCTGGGACTGGTCCTGGCCGGTGGGGTCTCTGGGATGCGCCCTACCAGAGCCGTCTCGTTAGCGCCCCCTTCAAGACCGTCAGCCTGAGGGGCACTCTTAATTTTGCACTTTTATTTGTACTTTTCTGCTCTCACCACAAATAACAAGCTCTTACCCTACAGATAACCATTCAGAAAGAATGGCTTCCAAATAGTAGTAATCTAGATTTTAGCTTAATGCTTTCTCCTCAGCTTATTCGGTCAATATGACCACTAACAGCTCCTCTGCACTAAGCACTGTGCTAGTCACCAAGTAGATGATGAACAAAAGACAGTCCCCGCCTTCACAGGGTCACAGTCTAGTGCTAAAGTCAAGAACAATTAAAACACAAATGATATAAAACATAAATGTCACAAATACAAATGACAACCTGTGACTCGAGCTAGGAAAGAAGAGGAACACGGCTTACAAGGATGAGCCCAAATGCCTCTCGGGGCTGGGAATCTGCTCTCCGTCTGAAATACTACTCACATCTTGGACTTTCTGGATGAAAGGATCTTTCCATTCAAAGACCACAAAAAACAACTGGGCACTTCTTTCAGCGGCCGGACGTTGGTCGATGTAGTTAACCACACTCGTCTAGGAACAGAGGAGAGGAAGCAGGGTCACCTGACCTGGCCCCCGAGACTGGAAAGCCTGGTTGGGGAACCTCAGACCCTGGCTCCCCTCCCAGCACCCGGGGTGGACAGAGCACCAGGCCCCACCTCCACAACACCCTGCACGGATCCCGGAGCCCACGCCTCACCCTGGTGTCCACGGCTCCCTGGGGAAACAAGGACCTGGGCTGTACGGTGCGTGGTCTGGACCGTCACTGAATAAACCGTATTCCAAGTACTGTGTGGGACTCACAGTTGGAAGCCATAAAAATCCTGAATTCCAAATATACTGGATCTTAAGAGCTGAGTATTTTAACCTCTGGGTCTGCAGGGAGGCGAGGCTGTGTGTTGCCTGTGAAGAGTTAGTTGGTGTGCTGGGGAAGATCTGGTCGCCAGGGACTGAAGGGCCCACGTGGTGTCACAGGGAGCGGACAGGTTCCAGAGAAGCAGCCCAGGCCCAGCGCGAAGGGCTGGGTTCATCATCTGAACTGAGTCTCTGCTCTGCCACCCATAACACAGGGACAAAACGCCCACCTCCGTCAGGGTCAAAGGAGCGATATACATGAAAGTGTCTTAAACTTTAATGCACGATATAAAAACATTTAAAATTCTGAGTTTGTGTCCCCTCCCAAATGACTTCCAATGGAGACTAATAAAAAGCACAGAAAACATTCTAAAATGTATAGGGTCCCAGATGGGGTTAGGGCCCCTCGGTTTCAGAGCACGGCTGGGGCTGCACCCAATGTGAGGTGAGCCCAAGGCCACTCCTTCCTCGGCTGGGGGCTGGGGGGTGGCAGGCGTTCTTGGCATTCTTGGGGAGAAGGGGGGGGTCAATACCGGGAAGTGGCAGCTTACAAAGGAAGGAGTCCTCAACGGACCCGAGGCCATGCGGCTGGTACAGCCTCGGTGCAGAAAGCCTGTCCTGAGGAAGGCTGGCGCTGTGCCCTTCCTGAAGCTCTTCTGGGGCAGCCCTGGGGGCCAGGTGCGGGAAGGACCAGGCTGGGTGAGTGTGTGGCTTCTGGCCAATGACAGCCCTGTCCACTGGAGGGGGTCCTTGGACGCCGCCCAGACCCTTCCTAATGCCGCCCCTCGGAGCCTCCGGGGAGGAGCAGAGGGTGTGAGCACAGGGTCTGGCTCTGGGCGAGGGTGTGGGTTCGGGCGGGAGGAGAGAGCCAAGGCAGAAGCCCCAAAGGCAGGGTGAGGCCTTGCTTTTGGTGGTCAGACAGATGGCCCTGTCCCATCCCTGGGTCACCACTGCCACACCTTTGTCTAAGGTCCTCTGTCTCTCACTGGGATGGCAGCTGGAGACCCCCAAGTCTCCTGGCTGCAGGCAGGGGGCCGAAAGCTTCAGGGTCACTGCTCCCGTGAGTAAAAACCTAGAGCACACGAGTAGCTTTAGAAGTGATGTAACATCACTATTACTGTCCTAACGTGTGATTATAAAACATTGAAAAACAGAAAAATGGGGTAAAAAACACAAGAGGGAGAGTACTTGAGATCTTGCTCTCTGGCACACTATCAGTTTGACTCAAATAAGCTTTGATAAAAAATTTTTTAAAAATACAGAAGCGAGTATTTTTACCCCCACCTCCCACGGGATCGTCAGGCTCTCCATGCTCCAAGGCCACTGTCCCTGGTCCCTCCTCCCTGCAAACGCTTGAGGCCGCCAGCCTCCCAGAGCGCCAGGGGCAGACTCAGGGCTGAGAACATGCTCTCTGCAGGGGGCTCTGCTCCCCTCTACCCTGAGTTTTGCCAGCCGGGCTGTAACAGAGGGAGCGGGCCCAGCATGGGTGCTGCCTACGGGACATGTGAACTCCTGGCAGGGTCCATGCTCAGCCTTCCGACCCGTGCAGACGCCTCTCTGCCAGGCTCGCCCAGCCCACGCCCAGGCTGCACCGCACCAGCAGCTGGAAGCAGACCAGGCGCCATCTACCTCCTGCCGGAACTCCACCGCTTCCCGCCCATCTTCCTCCTTGGTCTCCACCAGGGACATCTTGACCCACGTTCGGAAGCCCCCGGAGAACTTCCAGCTGGAATAGGCGCTCTCGCAGGCCTGCATGAAGCCTGCCCTGTCTGGGCTGGGGGACAGAGAAGAAAGGTCCGAGTTCATCAGGCCTGATGGCAGGATTCTAGTGTGGCCAGACTCAAACTCCAGCCCCTACTTCAACTGGTTGGTACGCTGGCATCACCAGGATGCTGCCCACCAGCTTCCTTCCTCTCCGGGGTCCTCAAGACAGCCCTGGACTTCAGCAGCCCCGAGGCACCCTCCCCAGCCTGCCAGCCGGCCAGCCTCCACCCCACACCCCGCCTGGGGATATGCAAGGCTGGACTATGACAGAGAGTGGGTACAAGCCCGCTGGGGACCCCCGAAGGCCACCTGTGCAGGAACTCCTGGAAAGAAGAGAAGAGGAGGTAGTCGATGGCGCTGAAGTCCTCGCTGCTCTCGTTCAGGCGGAACTGGAGGAAGACCAGCTCCCGCTTCTTCACCTCCCGGGGCCCCCGCACAATCAGGGCGGATTTCTGCGGAGACACCAAGGCCGGAATCTCAGCGGTGGGAGGGCTGGCTGGCTGCTCCTCAGCCTCAGGCCCACAGACACTGGACAGTCCACCAGGGAAGTCCACCAGGGAAGCCCACACCCTCCTGCTCAGCGAGCCCAGCTGCACCTGGATAGAGCCCAGTGCCCATGCCCCTCGCTGGTCAGCTGTGCTACAGAAGCTCCTTGTTGAGAGAAGAGTATCAGGTTCTGCCTGTCGGTCACTTTCCTGTGAACTTTGCTTCTGCTGTCCTTTGTTTTATGAAGTTCTAAATTTGATATCATGAAACCTGTAAATCTTTGCTTTGATGGCTTCTGGGTTTTGCTTGCTAAGGAACACCAAAATTGTTGTATATCGACATTCCCCTGTATTTCCTTGTCACATCTTTTCAATGCTTCTGCATTCAGACACAATTCTGTGTGTGGTGTCTAGGAGTCTAAGTCCCACCCCCCACGACGGGTTCCCGTGTGACGTCAGACTGACAGGTCCCCCACACGCCGTCTAATGCACTTTCAAACCAGCTTAAGTTCCATGAAAATAATCAACTGGGACTTTTAACTGACAGTATTAGATGGCTAGATTTAATTTGGGAAAAGCATCTTTACATCGTCGACTTTTGTAAATGCTCTGTAGACATGGGAAGCGTGAAGATTCCGTCAGGCGCACCTGCTCCGAACACACCGTGCTGGCCGGCTGCTGCCCCGACTTCTGTCTCCCTGACCCGCGAGTTTCTGAGGGGGTGGCCCCTGCTCTAAGGTGACGGTGTTTTTTGTTTCTAACAGGTACTGCCTAACACATACGACCGTGAGCCATTTTGCACACAATGATAGGTTTCTGGCTGTGAAACCTTCTCGGTGGACAGTGGTGGAGGGGGGCCTCACCCACACTAAAATCCCTCTTGTAACCTGCTGCACCTGAAATCCCTTTCCGACGGCTGCTGAAGTCGTCACTGACTTCCGGTCACTGTCGCATTAGCCCAGAGACCACCCTGCCCGTCTGTTTATTCTCAGCCTTTCCGTGCCACGTTCGGTGGCAGCAGAGAAGGACAACGGTCTCCTCGTTTCCACGCCCTCGTCTTCCCGCGGAACCAGAGCCACTTCCTCGTCCCCTGACGTGAGTGGAACACGGTGGCCCTGCCGGCCCCTCACTTCTGGCCTCACACGTGGCCTGTGAGGAAGTCCCCGGAACGTGTGGTGACTCTTGCCTCTCGGCGGTGGCGTGCCCCCTCTGTCCCCCTGGGAGCCGGCGTGCGCACACGGGCTGTGAGCCAGTGCTGACCTCGGGGACCAGGACAGTGCCCAGGGGATGGCACGGCGACTGACACTTGCGCACCCCACTATCCCCAGAGAAAGAAAGAAACCTCTCTCGTCTCAACCCCAGTGTCTGTCTGGGGTGTGTGCTTTGTGCAGTAGCTTAGCCTAGTCTGTAACCATCACAGAGGCTGTTTTCTGGAACTGGGTGCCATGGTAACAACCTAAAAAGGAGGCATCGGCTTAACATATGGACCCTGGGATGCGGCAGGTGGTGAGGAAACAGAGGCAGGTCCTGCAGACTGGAAAGGCCGTGACCCCGGCCACGCTGGAGCAAAGCATCTGGTAGACATGAAGTGGATTAAACTGAGGGGCAGGGAAGGGGGAGGAAGAATAAAAAACAAACGAGCGTCTGAAGACTGACAGAGGAGGGCCAGACGAGACGCCTGGCTGGTCACAGTCACGTGGACCCAGCGGGACACAAACGGCCAGAACCCTACATTTCTGAAGACATCTCACTGTGAACAAAGGGGCAGGAGAAGGAAAACGACCAGCCCAACGCCCAGTCCACGCCCCTCCGGCTCTGTAGCAGGGCTGGGCGCCCAAAGCTGTGTGGCCCGGGGTGACAGGGCATGTCTCTAACGTCCACTCCACACAGAAAGCCACGGAGGACCAACGCCAAGGCAGACCCGCCCAGGGCATGGGGCCAGGGGCAAGTGGGGACACCGGGAGTTGCACGGGGCCCCACTGCAGGGCCTCAGCCCCGCCTCCAGCAGCTGCTCCCTCTCCCGTCCTCCTCCTCCCCCGCTGGGACTGGGAGGAGTCCTCCCGCGCTTCCCGAGACCTCTGCCAGGACTGTGGGCTGGAGGCCTGGAGGCCTGGAGCTCAGGAAGGGGATAACTCTTGGTTAGAAGCCACATCTAGAGTTGGAGATGACTGACCGTCCCCCAGAGCTGGAGGCAGCATTGCAGGCAACTGAGTCTACATGGAGACAGCTCTCCGTTGTGTCGACTCCGCTGGTTTTTGTAACTAGTGCAGCAGGTACAACTGGCGTAGCCCAGACTCCTGGCAAGGGCGCTTACTCCGTGCACCACTCCACGCTCCGCCCCGTGGGGGAGGGGGCAGTGCACGGGGAAGGACGCGCCGGGAACCCAGGCGCACAGCGGTCCTACAGCGTCTAGCTCTCCGCTACAATTCCTCATTTAAATTCGCTTCTGTTTCCCTAGAGTCCATTCTGTTTATTCCCCTTGGTTCCTTCACGTGTTTGGTTTCATGTCTAGTGACCCTCAATTGTCCAGCCTTGTTTCTGGATGAAGGATTAGGTGGACGAGTTAGGTCTGGGGCGGGTTTCTTCCTCCGCGGCTCTCAGACAGGCTCGCCCTGGCCTGGGGCCGACTGTAAGAGGCGGTGGGCAGGCCACGCTGGCGGGTGGGCACTCCCTCCGCCCACTTCTGTCCCAGGAGGGGGCCTTCCCGGGAGCTCTCCATCGGGGTCCACTGGGGAGGTCCAGTCTCCGGTCCGCCCCTCTCTCTGCTGCCCCAACGCCCCAGCAACAGTGGCCCCGGGGCCTTTCACCCAGAACTGAACACGACCCCCAGCAGCTCTGCCGGCCCTGGGAGGGCCCAGGGAGCGGAGGCCCCACCGACAGGCGACCCCTAATTTTCATCCTGCTGACCGCCCGGCAGCCTTGCTGACGCGGAGCCCGGAGGACAGTCTCCCCTCCACGGTCCTTGCAGCGTCTGCTCTAGGGTGTGTCTTCCCCATGGCCCTGACCCAACCTGCTATTCGCATTTCACATCTGTCCCTCAAAATTTCTGGTCAACTGGTGACACCCTTTCTTGGCTTGCAGAGCTACTGTGGGTATTTTATTTTACTCTATTTTTTGCAGGAGTGGGAATCATTTCAGCAGAATTTTAGGAGGAGGTCTAGAATAAATACTAACAAAATTCACCTTAAGACCTCCCAAAGCCCTCCACCACCCCAGAAAGCAAGGCCTGCCCGGCAGCCTGCCGCCCTCGTCTGGCCATTACTTCGTGCACCACGCCACCTCCCGCCACGCCCCAGGGACGCAGACCCTCCAGAACCAGCCCGCACAGACGCGCACACCGCTTCCCGGCAGTCTCGGGAAGCAGAATCTCTGCCTAGAAAACCTTCCTTCCGCGCTCTGACCAAGAAAATGCAACACGGCCCGGCTAAGTCCTTGCTGAAACAAGGATACAAGGGCATGGGGATGCAAAGGGCAAGATGTAAAAACACAAACCCCCTGTTCTGGCCTCACAACCCCCTGCAGGCGCCGCTCCTGAGCCACCCACGCCCCAGTGAGCTGTGCAACTGCAAGCCTGCGCCCTGGGCCGCGGGCCTCTGCATCCCAGACAGCATGGGCGCCAGGCCCAGGTCCCGGAACGAGGAATCCGCAGGCCCCGTGCGGAATTTAGCAATCCACAAGTTCGCACAGCACACTGGTGATTCCCTCGGCAGTCAGCTGGGGTCCCCACTCCACCATGACATCCCCCCACCCCCTGCAGCCGGCACTCCTTAGGTCAAGGTCGGGACCTTATCACACTGTAGGGAGTCCCCAGGGCCACCCCAACAAGGCTGAGTGCAGGCAAGCCAGCCACGGCCACGACCCTCATGGGACCGAGGGCCAAGGACGTTGGCAGGGCCACCCGGCAGAAAGAAGACCGGGCCCCTGCGGTGTGGCCCACAGGACACACTGCCCAGACCCAGAGGCGCGTTACCAGGGTCTGGTTGGAGAAAGGGTCCGTGTAGTTGATCCTCTGGGTGGTGCACTTCACGTCCCCCGGCTGGCCCGGGCTCCTCAGAGGGGGGATGACTTCATAATGGTGCTTGCAGCTGAGCAACTGGGCCTGGCCGGGGTACAGGGCAATGCCTGGGGACAAAACAGAAAGTGGGTGTCAAAAGGCACAGTCCCTGCCCACCCCTAAAACCCTGTCTCACACTTTTCACACCCACCAACGACCTAGGTTCGGGACTCCCTGGGTGACCGCAGAGGAGGGAGAAGGAAGCGGTTAGTTACAGAGGGTGGGGAGCCACACCCCTGCCCGCAGGAAGCCCTCTCCCGGCACCAGCACCCTGCTCTGGGCCCGCCGGGGCCTCTGGGACTGGGCCAGCCCCTGGGCCCCATACCCGCCTGCGGTCTCTGGGAGGCCCTGGGCTGTGGGTTGCTCCCCAGACCTCATGCTCTCTCTCATCCCCTGCTCTGCCTGGAGCTCCAGGTGTGCAGGCCGCCTCCCCCCAGTCCCTCCCTGGCCCCTGCTGAGGGCGGCCGCTCCAGCCTCAGCAGCAGACCCACTGAGGGCAGCACGTGGTCCGAGACCCCAGCAGGGCTCAGGGTAAGCAACAAAGACAGCAAAGCAGACACGCAGAGAAGAGGAACAAACTCAAGATGGGCAAAGACAGGCCTGGGGCCTCAGCCAGGACGCTTGTCAAGAAGCCCCAGGCAGAGGAGACTCGAGACTGGCTCTGCCCTGGGTGCAGGCCATCGGAGGGTCGCTTGGGGGCATCCTGTTGGCAGAGCCCAAGCACACAGAGCTCAGCTCCCAGAGCCCAGGGCCAGCCCTTGCCCTGGAGCAGAGATGCCACTTCGTTCGGGGACTGGACCCTGGCTAGGACAGACAGTGTGGCCTGGGAGCCCCTCTCCAGGCAGGGCTCCACCCCTCGGGGTGGCTTTGCCTCCCTTCCGCCCCTAACTCGCACCTCTGGCACTGGCCCCTGGCTCCAGTCAGGCTGGACTCAGCCACCCGGAGAAACCCTCGGCCCCCCATGCTTGCCTTTGCTCCTGCTGGTCCTGCTCCCAGAAGAACTCTCTCCCGTCCATCCAAGCCCAGCCCAAACTCTGCCTCTGTGCAGAGTGCTCCCGGTTCTGAGGCCGCCGCCCCAGGCTCTGACCCCCTTCTCTCCTCGGACAGGACCAGGAGCCAGGGGCCAGGAGTGCAGTGGCGACTCAGGGAGTGTCTGCCGTCGGACGCCCCAGACCTGCCCCAGCCTCGATACCCGTCCTAGCAGGCTCCACCTGGGGCATCATAGAGAGCCACCTCCTTATAAGACACCGACATGACCGGGTGCTTGAGCTTCTCGCGGAAGTCTGTGATGGTCTGGTAAACCAGGAAGACGGCCACGGCCATGAGCAGCAGGTAGATGAAGATGAGCAGGACCGAGAAGACGTTCTTCAGGCAGGCCTTGCTGAAACGGATGCTGCTGGAGGCCGACCCTCCGTCCAGGGCTGAAAGACAACGCCAACACGTGACCTGGAGTGCAGCTGCAGGCGGGGTGGGGGAGGGCGGCACCCCCCGGGCCGTACCTGCCTTACCAAGAGGCACCCTCGCTGCACCCCCAAATCCTAACACACGGTACCTGTCAAGAGTCACTACCCGACCACTCTGTAGGAAAGGGCACCCCAAGCTGAAGGAGGCTCGGCTGCTGTCTTTAGGGAACCTCCTCTCCAGAGGGACAGAAAATTACATGCCAACGAGGGAGGGAGCGGCCTGACCCACCCCTCCGGCCCCACCCCTCACCACCCTGCTCCTGCCCCGCACCCCAGCTCCGCGTGCCCTCGGCCCTGAAGCCTGAGCAATTTGCTTCATTGCTGGTTTCAGTTTGGAAAGGCACTCCCCCAAGGAAGCCTTTCCTGACCCCCCGACTTTACTTGGGCACCCCTTTCTCAGTGCTCCCAGGGCAGCCATGTGTCGTCGTTCACTCTCTTCACTCTGCAAGGTCACACTGTGTGTTTACGTGGCTTTGATCCCCTAGGCTTTGAGCTCCATGAGGGTGGGGACAAGGGCCAGCTCTGTCCACACTGAACCCCTCGCCCATCAGTGCAGTGCCTGGAATAAGGCAGGCGTTCCGCAGTTACACAGTGAACGACTGAAGAGCTGAGTAAACGTATTCCAAAGCTGTCCCTACAACATTGCCTGGCCCCGCCCGCCTGCTCTGAAGCCATCCCTGGCCTTGACCACTCTGTTTTACGCTGGACCGTGTCCCTGTTCCCTAAAATTCACAGGTTGGAGCCCTGACCCCCAGTGTGACTCTACTTAGAGACTGAGTATGGAAGGACGGAAGCGAGGTTAACGGGGTGGCGTGGGTGGCGCCCTCCTCTGACAGCGCGGGTGTCCTAGTAAGAAGGGAAGGGGGCGTGGGGCGCACACAGTGAAAAGGCCACGGGGGGGGGGGGAAGGATGCCACCCGCAGGCCCGAGAGAGGAGCCTCAAGACAAAGCAAACTTGGTGACACCTTCTTCTGGGACTTCCAGCCTCCAAAACCCAGAAAACAACGCCTGTTTAAGCCCCCCAGCCTGTGGCACTTGGATGCAGCAGTTGGAGCTGCCGGAGGCGCTCACATGGAGCTCCTGGGGCTGCCCGGGAAGGGCCCTGTGTCCTCCCCGGGAAGGGCCCTGTGTCCTCCCCGGGAAGGGCCCTGTGTCCTCCCGGGAAGGGCCCTGTGTCCTCCCCAGCAAGTGTGCCTGAGGCTGCAGACGAAGCGGAGTTTACATGTAAGTCCACAAAGATGGGCGGCTGCCTTCTGGCTTCCACCAGTGACAGAGGCGCGTCCTCACACCACCCTCCTACAGACGACAGCTACAAAATCTGGACAGAATACTGAACGCTAATTGAAGGCACTGGAGAAGGACCAGAAGCAAGCCAAAACTGGAAGACAAACTACTCTGAAAGAAGAGAACAGCACCAACAGAAAAGAAACAGCAGAGAATGTCACCGGGTGAGATTTGTAAAGCTGCAGCTTTTGGCCTGAGGGCATTCGCCAGCTCCACTGGGTGTCATTCACCGAAACGGTGCCCCGGGGGAAACCCTCAAAGGGAGGGACTCGCACGGGGTGGGGTGAACCCCCAGACCTGCAAATAAGAGATGTTCCAATCAGCTTTGGACTCGAGGGGCCCAGCAGCTGGCAACCGAAAGTGCTGAGAGATTCCCGCTGCTGAGGCAGAGGGCACGGAGGTCTGGGACTGAGCCTCGCTGCGTTAACTGCCAGCTGAGACAAAAATTCCGCTTCAGAGAAGCATAACCGAATCCAGAGGCTCTATAATGTACCATCCATAATGTCTAGTGCTCACTCAAAATGGACTAGACAGGGAGAGGGCAAGACAACGTGTCCCAGACTAAAGGGGAAACAAGCAGGCCATAGAAACCAACACGACCCTGGCTGGGTAGCTCAGTTGGTTAGAGCACCATCCCAATATGCCGAGGCTGCAGCTTCGATCCCAGTCAGGGCACGTACAGGAATCAGCCAATCAAGGCATAAATAAGTGGAACAACATTTTCCTCTCCCCCCGCCTTTCCACTCTCTTTCTGAAATCAATCAATAAAAAAAATTTTTTAAAAGAAAACAATGCTCAGGTGACCCAGATATTGCAATTAGCAGACAGGATCTTTTTAGCCTTTAAAAGACCCAAAGGAAAATATATACAAAAGAAATGAACAGAGGAGAAACTCAGAAACAGACACTATAAAAACAAACCAAATGGAAAATTTAAAAATGAAAAAATTTCATAGAATGAAAAACTCACTGCAAAATCTTTTATTAAAATATTTTTATTTATTTTTTAAAAGAGGGGAAGGGAGAGAGAAAGAGAGGGAGAGAAACATCAGTGTGGGAGAGAGGTATCAATGTGCGGTTGCCTCTCACACGCCCCCAGCTGGGGACCTGGACCGAAACCCAGGCTTATGTCCTGACTGGGAATCAAACGGGCGACCTTTTGGCTCACGGACTAACACTCGACCCACTGAGCCACACCAGCCAGGGCCCACTGCATAATCTTAACAGCACAAGTTGGTAGAAGTAAAAGCCAGTGCAGTGGTTGAATGAACAGAAATGATCTATCTGGAAGAAAAGACCAAAGAAAAACCGAACGGAGTCCAGGTAACTGCAACAACATGTAGCAGCGAGTGCAACAGCACGTGACTGGAGACACAGAACGGGTCAGAAACGTAGTTTCTAAAAATAATGGCCTAAGCCTCCCAAAATTGTAGGAAAAAATACCAATTTTCCGATCCTAAAAACTCAATACATACCAAGCAGGACAAATAAGAAAACCACTGCTAGGCAAATCATTGTCAAACTGCCAATGGAAAGATAAGAGAAAAACCATAAAAGCAGCCAGGAAAATAAAGGACATATTATAAACGGGATACTGTATCTAATGACAGGCAACTTTTGATCAGAAACGATGGAGGTTGAAGACAGTGCAACAATGAAAGAAAAAAGTCTGTGCAGCACTGAGAATGAAAACTAGCAAAACTAACCTTCAGAAGTGCAGGTGAAATAAAGACATACGTGAAAATAAAGCTGAGAGGACTCATCACCAACAGACCAGCACTGCAAAGCCTTCTAAAGAAAACTCCAACAGGGAAATGACAGTGGATGGAGACCCTCAAACATGTGGTAGGAAGCAAAGGTCACTGGAAATGCTAAATAGGTGGGCAAATATGTACTTTTTAAATTTAAGATTGCCATGGGAAATATATACAGTATCGTAAGGTTTGTGACTTGCAGGAATGCAGAACAGAGAAACAAAACCCATGAGACAAAGAGAAAAATAAAAGACCCGAATCCAACCACATGGATAACTATATTAAACGTAAATGAACCAAGCACTCCAATTAAAAGGCAGGGACTGTGGGCCTGGATTAAAAACAAGACCCAACTACATGCTCTCGGTAAAAAGTGGACCTGAGTGATGTCAGCATCACAGAAGAGCGAGAAGACTATTGTTCCTCCCCTGAAGTTCACAACAAGCTGGACCACTGTAGGTCAGGAAAGGATCTCCTGCCACGCCCCCAGGTGCCTGAAGGTGGGCGCACTGGACGGAGCAGGGAAGGCGGCATGGGGGGAACCTGGCCGTGTGCCGCAGATGCGGGCTGGTGCATCTCCAGACAGGATGGTGGCGGCCAGGACTAGGGCTGCAGGCCTGACGCTGGCCTGGAATGTGAGGGGCAAAGGCAGTTTCCCTCCCAGAAAAGGTATTTCCCTTCCTCCTCTCCACGCGGCAGAACGAGGCAGAGGTGTCTGGGAAGCTGCAAACAAAACAGTGGCGCTAACAGCCACTACCAGCAGGGGGCAGAGCTGTGAGATGGCAGACCTGCCCTCGCTCTCCAAGCCCCGACAGGGCCCACCCAGTAAAGCCAAAAATAGAGGTAGCTTCCGGAGCTCACAAAATCAGTTCTCCACCACCCACAACTTTCTCCCAACACAGTGGCGGCGTCCCATAACCAAGGTGAGCAGGTCAAAGACAGAACACCCACCGCCCCATTGGGTGCACAGCACTTTCTGTGACTGAAACAGCACCTCACAGCGATCCCAGATCACCTGCAGTGCAGGTAGAAGGAAACCAAAACTTGCACTATAGCACCATCTACTGGAAAACAAGAGAAAGCACCCTACCTATAAACCTGAACTGAGGGCAAAACTGTTCATACACAAGAGCCCACACTACCTCAAATGCTCAGAGAATCAAACCATCACATACCATGGAAACTGAAGCAACCTGAAAGCACAGAAGCCAAATGAAAAGACTCCTGAAACCAAACTCAAAGTCATGGAAGACTATGATTTAAATGACAGAACTGAAGATTGTAATTACAAAAAAAAAAACCAGTAATATATGAGAAAACTCAAAAAGGCAGTTCGATGAATTTTTAAAAATTAATGAACAGTCCTGGCTGGTGTGGCTCAGTGGATTGCATGCTAGTCTAAGAACCAAAAAGTCACTGGTTCAATTCCCAGTCAGGGCACATGCCTGGGTTGCTGGCCAGGCCCCCAGTAGGGGAGCAAGAGAGGCAACCGCACATTGATATTTCTCTCCCTCTCTTTGTCCCTCCCTTCCCCTCTCTCTAAAAATAAATAAATAAATACTTTAAAAATAATGAACAAAAGAAGTATTTACTGAAGACAATAAAACTATAGCAAAGAACCAGAAAGAAATTCTGGTGCTGAAGAACTCAATATATGAGATCAGGGGAGCATCGGAGAGTTACTAGAAACAGAACAGTGCAGATGGAAGAGACGATTGGCAAACTCAAAGATACACACCTGGGAATGACCCAGGAGGAAGAGAGGGAAGAACTAAGAGTTTAAAAAAACAACTCAGAATTATGTAACTACATTAGAAAGGGCCGCATAAGGATAACAAGGAACAGAGAGCCTACTTAAAGAGATAATTGACGAGGATTTCCCAAGACTATGAAAGGAACTAAACTTTAGAGGAAGCTAAAA